CTTTCTCTTTCTGTCTTTCCTTAAGTTATTCTTTGTTTTTATCATTCTATCACTTTCTCTTTCCATCTTTCCTTATGTTATTTTTTGTTTTAATAATTCTATCACTTTCTCTTTCTGTCTTTCCTTATGTTAATCTTTGTTTTCATCATTCTATCATTTTCTCTTTCCGTCTTTCCTTATGTTATTCTTTGTTTTTGTCATTCTATCACTTTCTCTTTCTGTCTTTCCTTATGTTATTCTTTGTTTTTATCATTCTATCACTTTCTCTTTCTGTCTTTCCTTATGTTTTTCTTTGTTTTTATCATTCTATCACTTTCTCTTTCTGTCTTTCCTTATGTTATTCTTTGTTTTTATCATTCTATCACTTTCTCTTTCTGTCTTTCTCTCTCCCCCTCTGTCTCTCTTTTTATCTCTGTCTCTGTCTGTCTCTTTTTCTATCCCTCCCTCTCGTTTTCTATCTCTCTCTCTCTCTTCCTCCCTCTCTCCCTCTCTCTCTCTCTCTTCATCTCTGTCTCTGTCTCTCTCTTTTTCTATCCCTCCCTCTCTCTATCTCCCTCTCTCTCTCTCTCTCTCTCTTACTTACAATATTGTGGTTTCTGGTAGCTTACTCTTGAAATACAATATATGAAAAATGTAAACGTAATGGGAATTTCAGTCTCTGATTCCATGCTCGTTTCATTTTGTATACATAGACATGGGTAGAAAACAAAGGCATTGTGACCCTTATCAATTCCTCTCCTTCTTTTCATGCTGTAAATGGGAAATGCCTTCACATGGAAACCATATCCTTGGCTTTCTTTGTGTTTGTGAATTGAAATGCAATGAATTTTTATTGCTTTTATAACATCGCCCATGAGGTTGTCATGGAAACTCAATTTTGGTGAAATTCACCGCAGATATTAAAAAAATGTATGTTGCCGGAATTGATTTGATAATGCTTGTACGTGTGTAATGAACATGTTTTCATTACATCCAGAAGGCTGGAAAGTTAAGTTTTGATCTTCTTTTTTTACAGCAGAATGAACTTTAATAATTTAAAGGAGTTTTTGATCAGTAGTTCCAAGTCAAACACTTCTAGTACAATATGCCCTTTAGCATGCAGTAATCCTTACTAAAGTATAGTATTTATCAGTTAAAGCCTCTTAGAGTATAGGTAACAACAAACAAGGCATTGTAGTTTGTGAAAATTAAGATCAGCAACAACTATTTGTAAGGATCAGGGGTTATGATTTAACTGTAAAAGATGAAAGTATATTTTGTGTTACAGTATATATTTTACTTTTACCCTTTTTTTTTGTTGTTTACATTGTTGCTATATTTTCTTTAAATGTATGTAAGATTTAGGCTTTAATCTAGATTTTCTTTACCTCCCTCTTTCTTTACCTTCCTTTTTCTTTCCTTCTCTCTCTTTTCATAGTTTTTTTTAAATCTCTTTCTCTCTTTCTCTTTATATCTACTCATCTTCTTTTTGCGATTAAAATTTAAAATCATCCAAACCTGCTTATTGATCTTTTGTTTCCTAGCCTTTTCCTCTCTCACTTTCTTTCTTCACATCAGCTCTCACCCACCCTTCAAACCATATTTACTCACTTGATCGCTTATCCTTCCGATATAGGAGGACAGTATAGTGACAGTTAGAGAATCGAAACTGATTCAATAAGAAATGAGACAATGTTGACACAGCTTGCCCCACTGGCCGAAGCGGTGGGAATTCTGATTGAATTTGGCTCCGCAACCAGATCTAATGTTCAATTAGATGGTGTTTGGAATATATGCTTGCAAATGCAGCTTGTACTGAATTTAAGCCATAACCCACAGAAATGCAGTGGGTTCTTATACTAAGCAGCTATGTTAGAGGTAGAAAAATCCAGTAGACATCATTAGGTTTAGATAGACTGTTGAATCGATAATATACCTTTTTAAAAAGCTTGTGGTACTTAGCTGGGAAAGTTAGATAAAAATGTGTTTCCAAACAATAAATATATTCTGGTACAAAATTGTATTGCATGCATGTAACCCCATTTGTTTTAGAGTTAGATTGGCTCTCAAATCAAAGTTGTCAACTTAAAAGCCCAAGTACCCAACTTTAAAGCCCAATTACCCAACTTTAAAGCCCAATTACCCAACTTTAAAGCCCAATTACCCAACTCTCTAAAATCTGGCTTAATCTGGGATTCTAACAAAATATTTAAAGCCGTGAAGAATTTTGTTTAAATGTTGAACATAATATGTCTTCGTTTTTATATCACTGTAGTGATTCGTTGGCTTATAAAAACTCAGACAAATTGTCGAAAAATGAAGTTAGGTCAATACACACTTTTGTATCATAATGACTGCACAGTGAGTAACAGATTGTAAGCAAACCAGCAGAAAAATGGGTTTGATAAAGTCCTGATTCTTAGACCTGACTCTATGCTTCTTCAATAGAACCTCAGAAAAATATTAAACAATTCAATTTCAATTTTATTTATTTATCATCCAACAATGTGAAAACACATATAACAGTCATAAATACACAAATTACCAAATAATAGATCAAAGGAAACCTTTAAAAAAAGCAACACGCTTGTAAAACAGAACAAATATATACATTAAAAACCCTATACAGACACGGTACACCCCTACTCTCCAGCAATACAATCAGTGTTATAGAACTAAAGTCGCATTTGACATTTCCCCCGTAATGTAGCCATTATTGGTTCACATAGTTTGTCCAGGGCTTAGCTTATAGGATGTTAGTGTTTTTTAGCCTTGTCTGCTCTACATTTCTCTCTCTGAAAGTCTGCACAGTACCGCAATAGATTGTAATCAATCCAGTGCATTAGTGGGTTAGATAAATTCCTGATCAAAGACCAGACTAATTTGCTTCTCAAAGAGAACCTCAGTAAAAATTTCATCATTTTAGTATTATAGATCTGAAGTCGTATTTGACATTTAGCCATTGTTGGTACACATAATGTGTTCAGGGCTTAGCTTATAGAATGCTATTGTCTTCTAACCTTGTCTGTTCCACATCTCTCTCTCTATCTCTCTCTCTCTTATTATTATTATTATGTCTGCAAAAGCAACATAATCATCAAATTTCCCCCTTGCCTCACTGTTACTATGGCAACAAAAGGAACCTCTCTCTCTCAAATCAATACTTACTATATGCCTTGGGTAGCATTGAAACTAACACAATCGCAAGAGTGCTCAAAAACCGAGCTATTCTTTTGTTCATGTTATTATTGCACAGCAGACTTTGTCAAAATCAAGGAAAATGAATGTCTAATCTGGTGTAATCTTTCTTGTGCAATTTCGTTGATGCATCAGCCTGAATTTCTTCTTATATCACAGCAATCACTGACAACTTTTTACCAGTTTTTTGTGCATCTTGAAACATTTTCTCAATTTTTTTTTTTTTTTTTTTTTTTTTTTTTATAAATATGGATTTTAAAATTAAAAGTATAAATTTGAGAATATGTTTCTATCATAGATTCTTTTTTAGTTTTTCTTTTTAAAAAGAAAAATTATATGTAGAGGTGAAATAAATATCCTTCTGAAGAAAAATATCCTTCCGAAGTAAAATATATTGGCTACTTATAGAAGGGTAAAGGAAGATGGGGGCTAATTAATTTGATTTAAGGGCAAGCCCGCCCCCTCCCTCTCCCTTTTGTTTTTCTAGCTCATTGCTTAGTTGTTTAATCCTATTCCATCCATAAACTTCTCTGATTTCCTCTTGATTTCCACAATCAATCTCCCCACTACCAATGGGTATTTTAACTTATCGCTATTACGTCTCTTGAGAGCAAGTATGTCTGTATCTTTGGCACAGTGTGAATACTCTCTGCACTTGTAACTGTATAAGGTAATTCAATTCTCCCCTCAAGAACTAAAATGCCTTGGCGTCATCGGCAATCATAATTGGCTGTAAAATGAATTTCCTTTGAGCTAACTAAATTTCACCAGCCTGATGTTGGTGTAAGTCAATTTGTATTGATTTATCTCTTGTTCAGAGAATGTTTATCTTTCCTCTGCCATTTCAAAGCCGTTATTGCCATGGAAAAAGCTGCAGTGTCATTTTACATTTATAATAGAAAGCTCATAGATAATTTGAAAATAATCTGGATTTAGCAGACAGAGAGGTTTGTTTCCAGATTTGTGCATGATGCATAGATAAATGTATCATTTAATCCCTCTATAGATCTCTCCTATCTCTTTACTTTTCATTGACCTATATTTCAATTATTGAATCGTCTAATGAAAGCCATGTTGACATTAAGTTAATATTGAGATAGTTGCGCTAATGCTCAATTTGCTCTCAGCAAAATCCCCCCCCCCCCCCAAAAAAAAAAAAAAAAAAAAAAAAAATCATAATTATACTGAAATGAACATTATATTGTCTTATTTCAATTGTTACTAGTTAATTGTTGCAGTAATCCCAATCAAAGCTCCTTTGAAGCTATACCGGGATGTCAATCATGTCATGTACCAATGAAGGTGCTAAGGTGCTAAGCTTGTGTTGTGTCACATAGCACATAGACTATATACAATACAATTGAGAAAAGTGTGTCATTGCAAGTTAAAATATGCATGGGTTCCTATATAGCATGTAGGACCCAGCAGGAGGCTGCATCATGCTGATGAGGGGGTAGTACAGCCGGCCTCTCTGAATGTTTCTGGGTAGCAGTGAGTTCCTCTGTTGTCCAGTATTTAGTCATCTGCTGCAATGTTCTCTTGTATCTGTCAACAAGGAGTTCAAATAAGCCCTTTTAGCTATCAACAGATGTAACTTTTCAGAGAAAGAGAGAGAGAGAAAGTACACACAGCTATCTATATTACCTGAATAAGAAAGTGTGTTTTACCCAATTACAAGCTTCCATATGCTTCTAAATTGCATAGATGCCCTTCATCATCGTTATCAATTGTTATTTTTGTTGATACATATGGTAAAACTCAATTAAAAAGTCTAGCATATTAAATTCAATAGATCTTCTCTTTCCCTTCTTCATTCTTCATAGGCTTGCTATGCTATGGGTGAAGCGGACATCTTGGTTATGGGCCATCCAGGTTTCCATAGCGATCATAAGCCTCGCCCAGCATCTTCTTCTGATGTATCTACAACACAAGGTCAGTTACCTGGCTAAATGCCTGTTCACCTATGTTCCGATAAACCACGTATTTACAACAAATCTTGTCTAACCTGCCTTAAGTTCATAGAAATTTATAAAATGGTGCAGTGAATGTTAAGAATTAGCTGTGACATACTTTCATTTTCTTTCTAATCAAAAGCAGATAATTTTGATAATCCATGATATAAAAGTATAATATAATACTTTTGTGAAAGATGATGATGAGAATATGATACAAATAATCTTGATATAATTGAAATCTTTCTTTGTCTGTACTATTAGTGATATTGTGATGTTGAATTGGTGATGAGTGTGACATATTAATTAATCTTTCTCAATTTATCTGTTACAGGGCAGCATTCTTCAACAAATTTTCAGCGTGTATTTTTTTCTTGAAGCTGTAAACAGTGTGCCATTTATTGTTACAGTAAGTTTTACACTCTTTTTTTAGATATTATTAAGTTTTTACTAAAATTTGGTAAATGAATTTTAGTATAACATTTTGCTTAAAAAGATAAAATGAATAATAATTCCATACAAACTTCTTATTACTAAATATCAGAAAATGTAGGAGGGATTCTCTTTATTTTATGAAATATATTATAAATATCATGAAGATAATGTATAATTGTAATCAAAACTTTATTTTATACCAATTTATTATAATTTTACCAATATCTAACTGTTACATCATACACACTCTAATCATTTAACTTTGTAGTCTCTATCATTACGTTTTTATGCAACATCTTTCAATGTCTATCCGTCAAGATATGCATATATTTTGCAGTACAGCATCATAACCATGAGTCATGATTTTTCTTTTTTGAATATACCATAAATGATTGAATGAATGAATTGATTTCATTATTACAGATTTTCTGGGAGCCTCTGAGGAATCTTTTTATACCTATTTATCTGAACTGCTGGCTGGCCAAGTATCTTCTAGAAAATCTTTTTGTAAGTATCTCGTTAATAGTGTTGGCCTTCAAATCCTTTGAATACCAAGCCCACGACATTCATTTTGTAGCACTTAGTATTAAATGCTTAAAGCTAAATGTCATGAAATCAAGATAATTCATGCTAGAGTGTATAAAGACATGTCATTCCAATATCAGTCATATCCAACTTGTCAGCATTATCAATAGGCTTGGAATATCAGCTATTATTACACATATCAGACATCTGAGCTGGCCATTTACAAAACCGTATTACCCTAGTTTTCACTAGCAGTGGGAACGAAGGGGTATATTCTTTGTATTTTCCTTGGGCTCCCTGCTCGTATAGACTTTGCGTGTAGAGACGAGTGAAAATATAGTCTCATATTGACCGTGCCGTATCTTGTCACTTTCATTGCGCATCTATTAAACCTGCGCACTTTGCGCGCACTCTATTGTGACGTAATAATCACACCAAAGGCACACTGTTTGCAGTGTATCAAAAATTTCGTCAAGCACTGCTGGTTGACACAGTTTGTTCAGTTATTTGAGATTGTCATGGTTGATTTATGTATTTGCTCTAGATGTCTGATTTGGATAACAATAAAAATACTGACTGGCTTAACTTTCGGTAGATACCACATATATTGCCCTCACAAGACCCATATTGCCCTCGTCTTTGACTCAGGGCAATATGGGTCTAGTTTGGGCAATATATGTGGTATCTACCGAAAGTTAAGCCAGGCAGTATTATATAATTAAGAACCAGAAGGGTATGAACTTAAATTTAAGGTATATGTTATGAAGTTATTTGCTATCAATGAATAACAGCAATTGTAATCTTCTGAAGATGTTGAAGTACTTTGTGACGTGAGTATGATGTACCTAAAAGGGGTTTTACCTAGTTGAACTTCTCAGTTCGTCTGTCTGGAAACAAAAGGGCATTAACTCATATCATTTTATATTATAAGCCTTCTGACTCCTAACTGGAATGACAGCATCAGTAATCTTATGAAGAAATGGGAGTAATTCAACTATGGTGGCATCGAGCGGAATGTAACTGAGTTGCCCACAACAAATCCAATTTGATTCAATAGGACAGTTACCCTCAGGAGTATGTTCCCTGTGGACAAAATTACCTCCCAATCAATTACACCTTTCCCCCATGACTTACTCTCTCTCTCTCTCTCTCTCTCTCTCTCTCTCTAACTCTCTCTATCTATCTCTCTCTCTCTGTCTCTATCTCTCTCTCTCTCTATCTCTCTCTCTCTCTCTCTCTCTCTCTCTCTAACTCTCTCTATCTATCTCTCTCTCTCTGTCTCTATCTCTCTCTCTTCCGAAAGGACAATTACCAATATACGTTTTCATTAGTATGATACAGTTTATTTAAACTAGAGCAGTCTGAAGTCAATTATGTATCGTGGAGGTGTCGTGGTATAGTGGTTCATTCACTTGACTCTCAATCTAAGGGTTGAGGGTTCAATTCCCCGCCTGGCACTAACATCCTTTGGCAAGACATTAATCCATAATATGCCACTCTCCACCCAGGTGTAAATGGGTACCTGGCAACTGCTGGGCTAATAATAATTGCAGGGCCTTCAGAAAGAATGATGAGGCTTCCCTGGGTAAACAAAAAATATTTTAAAACCAGAAAGATGTTAATGGCTTGCTTGCATATGCTGTGATTGACCATGATTTCTTTGTGTTACTTTTTATACACACCTGTCATTCATTCGGTACATACAAGAGAATATTACCTCAGGATATGGCTTACACCTTCTTCTTCCACATTGGGTTAACCCCTCCCAGCATATTGACTCTTGCCCTTACTAAAGTTCGTGTCCATAGCCTTGCTAATTGATGATGCTATGTAGGCCTGGTGCTGTGTATTGATTGCCATTTCCATAATACATGAAGCTATCTCCACTGTCCTATTGGCTATGACTGAAATTATGTAAGAAAGTTGCAAGTAGAGGTGTTGTAGTATAGAGGTGTCATAGTCGAGTGGTTTAAATATGTAGACCGGAAGTGGTAAAATTGCGGTTCAAGGGTTTTGGGTGCAAAATATCCATTCAATATTGTTTAAATATTGCCTTCAGAAGGTTTAGATGGCAATACTTCAACCTAAATTGCCCAAAAAGCAAAAATATTTGCCCAAATGTTCAATGTTGAAGTGCATTCTCGATATCTATCCAGGCCGGATCGATATGATCATTTACCAAATATATCAGTAAGTAGGCGGTTTCCCGGCAAAATTTGTACCATCACGTATAAGTCGAAACATATTCTTTCACATGATTGGTAATAAGAGCTTCCATTTCATTTTTTGAGAGGGGTTGTGTTTCCAAAACCGGTCTTTACCTTTTAAGCACTTGACTGGAAATGCAACAGTCATGGGTTTGATCCCTGACACAGCACTATTGTCCTTTGGCAAGCCATTAATTTACATTTTCCACTCAATACCCGTGACTGAAATGGGGACCTGGTAGGACGAAGAAAGTCTTTTTAATCAAATATTTGCCAAATGCCCTCACGGTGACCATATGGTAGGAATTCTCCCCAGGTAGTGGAAATTGTGCAGGCTGTGTGCGTGATTGAATCCGATGACCAGGGTAATGATAATACCTGTAAGTATTTAGAGATGGTATTCCTAATTAAGCCCTACATAAATCCAGATAAATTATTATCATTAAGTATGGGGGAGGGGTAAATGTCTCTGCAAGTGCTTCACTGTAATCTAACCTACCGGTATTCCCTGCATGAAGATTCTTAATTCCTGGTCAATGCTTTGAAAACTTACGATTATGCGACTTTCGTGTTTTTCTCTCATTTTCAGAACGATCTTCACAGAGTAATGATGCGTTCTCATTCTGCCCTCTCCCAGCGAGTCATGATATTGTTTTCATTCATACTTTGCCTCATATTCACCTGGTAAGCACCAGTATTTTATTATGTAAATGGAAAATACATTTTAAAGATGTTTAAATGTCATTTTGTGTGATAAGATATAGTTTTATGAATTATTTATCCGATCAAAATTGTATACAAGATCACATGCATTTCATCATTGAATCAAATGAAACATTCACTGGATGTTCAAGAATACAAATGAATGACATGATAAACAATTTGGTTAAAACAAAGCATGGTAGCTATGTAGTGAGAAAGAAAGACATGAAAATGGAGATAATCTTCCCTATCCTTGTATTTAAAGGGCAAGTCCTACCCGTTTGCAAGTTGGACGAAGTCGAACAAAAAATACGAATTTTATTAAAATGTTCACAAAATTCATGAAACATTGACATGAGTCACTTAAGCTGTATGCAATTTACAAAGTTGATGATGTCATCAAACAGAACTCATGTTGCTAGTGGACCAGACTTCTGTAATACTTGGTCTCTTTGTGCAAATGAGAGTTGCAGTCAAATTTATGTAAATCTGTTCATATTTACTGGGTCACACAATTAATTTTCATCATGAAAAACCATTTGGAATCAATTTAAACCAGTTCACCTTAAATGCACTGAATCCTTTCCCAGAGTTCAAGATGAGCTTTAAACTTTACAACCTTCTTTCCTCCTTTTTTCTTGCCAGTGCCTGTGGCATGCACCACTTAGAGAGAGGGGACATCAGTACGAACGGCATGTCTTTCTTCCATGCTTTCTACTTTACAATTGTAACTTTCTCCACGGTGGGGTATGGGGACATTGAGGTCCGCATCTGGCCCTCTCAACTCTATGTCATCATCATGATCTGTTCGGCTCTCGTCATTCTACCAATACAGGTCAGATTTAAAAGCAAAATATGTTCTTTTATTAAAAGCAGAAAAATGAGATCAGTGAGAGTTTGAGGAGAATCTGATGCAGAATGAGAAAGTTGTTGGTTTCACACTCTAGTCGTCAGCGCTGTGGTGTACATTCTTAGCTTATTCCCCTTTTGCTTTTACTGAAAATTCCATAAATTTCCATTCCAAATTTGATGAAAAAATTGACCTTTTTTTGAGGGGATGTACTTGTACATTGTAATAAGGGAATAGGTGCTGCTTTTTAAAGGGGGAGGGGGTGGCCTGTCAGAATTTTTAAAGAATTGTGTCCCCCCCCCCTCCCTTGCAATAGTATGGATTTGCTCTTATCATAAGCAATAAAAAATCATTGCGATAGTTGGCTTCGAGTGAGAAGGGATTATATAGATTAAATTATAATAGCATCCATTAGCATGATGTACAGTTTATTTTTCTTTCTCTTAAGAGAGATAGAGGTCGGGGGAGAAGGATAGACAGAAAAAATAGCCGTCTTTATTTCTTGTGTTTTTTTGTTTAAATCTACAGTTGGAAAACCTGGCCTACTTGATCATGGAGAGGCAGAAACAAGGCGGGACATACAGCCGACATCGAGCACAGACTGAGAAGCATGTTGTCGTATGCGCAACCAACCTGCAGTACGATCTCATCGTTGATTTCCTCAATGAGTTCTATGCGCATAACGACCTCCAGGTATGTAAACTGTCGATCTCTATAATTATGAAGACTGCTTAGGAAACGGACAAAATGAAAAAAGGGGTCTTTATGTGGTCATCCAAACAGATGCACATCCAGTGGATGTATATTTGTTTTAGTACACATTGTGATATTAATCTACACAACATATAACAATCTTTACATTAATTGTCTAGATTCTAATCGTTTTCTTCACCATTTATCCACATTTTGTATTTGTGCCCTCCTGCTAGACACAGGATTTGATATGGGGTCCAAGGGAAACAAACATGTAGTACTTACATTTTGAAGGTTGATCCGTGAGAGTTATTTAAAACCAAACGTAACAGTTAAAAATTAGAACTAAATCCCAACTTTAGTTTTAAAATGATTTTTGATGATTTTTCATAAACCTAGTGGTACAAGGGAGGTTAAAACTCATCCATAATGATAAAAATGGTGCTTATAAAGCACTTACCACCGAAGTCTCTAAGGGCTACAACAAACAAAATACAATCATAAACAATTACATATTTAAACAAAACAATGCAAATAAACCTACAATTACAATACATATAAAATATACATCAATGTGAACAGAGTAAGTTAATCATCAAAAGCAATTTTGAATAAATGTGTCTTAAGACAAGTTCCATGTTCCATGTTCTTCTTCACCTATGCTATTTATTATTTGTTTTAGGATTTCTTTGTGGTTCTTCTGTCTCCTTGTGAACTTGACAACGCCCTGAAGGCCCTGCTGACCGTCCCTCTCTGGGCTCAGAGGGTCATCTACATCCAGGGGTCAGCGCTCAAGGATGGGGACCTCATCAGATGCAGGTATTTATCTTTACTTTCCGGCTTTGCAATTATTTTTAAAGCGGGACTGCACTACTTGTAGCTACTTGCTCCCTCTATATAGAAAACTTCCCAAATCGGTGCCTGTTGGTCCCCCATGTTGATCCTCTTTTCTTTTGTTAATTGAGAGCTGAGTTAATGAGATAGCCACCTATCAGTGACCTCGTTGTGTGGTCTAATCCCTTCTGGCCAAACTAGTGCAAACAGGCTTTAAAACTTTGGTTGCTTTCTTTGCCTCTGTTTGATCACCCGTTTGCAACACATGCAATTTGGCACAAAACAATAGGCACTAATAGACAGAAGGATTGTTTTGTGCAACTCGGTGGTTTTGCAAAGTTACCCATTTTTATTCTTGGTTTGCTTCATGACAACCTTTGTTAAGGCTGGTATTGATTTATCTTGCTTAATGATTTTCTAAAAATCAATCTCAATCTGGCTAATCCATCTCCAATATTTTTTCACCCACAAAAACTGAAACTGAAAAATAAGCTTGAAGCCTTTGCTATAAAAATACATTAGTTGTTGTGAAATAAATGAGTGTAATTAATTTTGCAAATGGATATTGCTCTTCTCTGCCTCAAGCTTATTGTAAGTGAATGATCATGATGACTTTTTCCATCTTAGCATCATATTCAAAATGCTTGGGGCATTTTTTCTGCAAAATGAGGCTTGTAAGAAATCTGAAGTGCATTTATGAAATATTGGGAAATGCCAAATTCTTGTTTTGATCAGAAAATATTTCGTCATTCAGATTTCGCTTCCTGTTGCAAAGGAAATTGCTATTTTGCTGTAAGAATCTCTTCTACAATCATAAGAATATTTTTTAATAACAAAAAGAGATATCTGGGAACCTTGGAAAAACACCAGGGAGATCAGCTATGTGATTCTAGGGAAACTCTATCCATCAAATGCTTTTTGCAATCCTTGAAATAAAACCCAATGACATTTAACAGGATAGAAGATAGGTGTCATGTGACAATGTGGGACTCTGGGTTGCCATGGTTTCTCGCTAACTTGATCACATGACAACCGGGGAGGCTAGAGGCCATTGTCCAGGATTACACCAAATTGTCAAGCGAGCTGATTTTTCAGATGAGAAAATGTTAGTGTTTTTGTTTTTCTAGCCCGCTATCCAAGGTAGGTATCGAGTAGTGGATTCTGTTTTCATAAAGGCTTATTCACTTGAGACACAGTATTATGTTTTGGCGTGTACATGTCCTTCAGAGTCAGGATTTTGGAAGCAACCAAAATTACATCAACTGTTTTCTACAGCATCCAAGTATGGTGTTTTTTATAACCCCAAAATAATTGTTTGATATAAATAATATGTCAAGAAAAATGCTTTTTGCCAGCTAGACTCTGGATCTTCAGGAACCATTAAATGCTCAGCAAGACACAAGATTTTTATTTAGAGGGATGAGATGAATGTTGACATTTTCATAACATTCATTCTCATTTAAACATGAATCCTTCAACTGAATGTCAGTCTTTTAATTTGTGACTCTAGTAACCCTTTCTTCCCTCTAATTGGAGATAATCTTTTGGTCTGCAAGGCAGTCTTCTTCAATATTAACTTATCTGTAGGTCCTTGAATGTAAGTCTCTAGAAGTCTCCATGCTAGTAGAGGATAATTTTTCAGTCTGCAAAGTAAAGCTCGTTGGTGTTAGGTTTATACAAGTATGCCTGAAGGAAAAATGTACCCCCTATGATTAAATGTTGCAACTTAATCATTCATGCAAGAGGCTTGTTACCCTAGCAACCCTTTCTTACCTCTAATGGGAGATAATCTTTTGGTCTGCAAATCAAGTCTCTAGAAAACCTATCTTCACTCTAATGGAGGATAATTTTTCAGCCTTTAAGCTAGTAAAGCTCTTTTGTGTTTAATATCTTTATACAAGTATGCCTAAAGGGAAAAATGTACCCCTAGCATTAAATGTTGCAACTTATCATACATGGAAGTGGCTTGTTTTAGTAATGGTAATGGTTTCATTGAAAATTCATTTGCAGCCAGATGGCTGAATTGCAGAATTGTGTACATTGCGTAAAAACATAGATAATTATACAAACATAAATAAACTACGGTAAAATTATCCAGCAAATCGTGTTAAGACATATCAACACAGTGAATGAATTTCCTAAATAAATCAGTGTACACCTATTTACAAATTGATAAAATTTGCTAAACAGGTAACAGTTGCTTAGATCTATTCCACAATCATATAAGACATATATGAAAAGATCGTTCAAACTAAGAGAGAAGAGAGAACAAAAGGGCTGGAGGGAAATATAAAAGAGATGTTGGGAGGGAAAATAGTACGGAACAGACAGCACGGCGATCCAGAAACAGTATGAGAGAGAGAGAGAGAGAGAGAGAAAGGCAGAGGGGGAGAAATTAAGAGAGGGTGAGAGATAGAGAGAGAGATATATAAGATATTGCTGAGGATGAGAGTGTATAGCAGACATATCAAAGATAAGGTAAAAAGTACAGTTTTGACATTTTTTTAGTCATCTGTTATACGGAGAAGAATACACATGTACAAAGTAAGGTCTTATTGTATGTTTTTTTTATTATTGGCTCATAAAAGCACACAGAGATTAATTGTTATTGTTGTGTTTTTTTTACAGGATGGATGATGCTGAGGCCTGTTTTATTTTGTCTCCGAGGAATTTTATGGACAGATGCGAAGCAGTAAGTGCTACTGCTTTGATAATTTGTGCCACATTAATTAGAATTTTAGTTCACTTCTTCATTCTGCTTTCGTAATGGTGCATTCTGTGTTCTTTGTAAATTCATAATTTCATGCATTAAAGTATTTAGATTTAGAGAGAATGGGTGTGTAGGGATTACATTTGATGATTAACTAAACATGTTTATTAAATCTATACATTTCTTTTTCTTCAAAAGGGATAGGCAGTTTACAGAAGGGGGGTTCAAAAACTTCCACTGTGTATTATTGCTGTTAAGGATGGTTAATAAAACTATCATAAAAACTCATTTTTCAAAAAACTAAACTCTTCAAATATATGACAATGTAGTGAGGAGAAATCAATATGATTTATTTATGCGAAAGCTAAAATATTAATACAATATTTCCCCAACAGATTATAGAAAATTGATGAAATTGAATGGTTAGATTGATATTCCATGGTTTACAGTGAAAGAAAGATTGATCAGTGAATATTTACTGTTATTTCTATAGTAAGATTCATGTAGATCAATTTCATTTTAAACGTCAGTCACCCTTATAACCATCGCAAATGTCAATTTGTATGATTTCTTTTGCTGAATTAAAGTTTTTGAGCTGCTCAAATAAGACCATTTTGCATGGGTCATGCTAATTCTTCCTTGCCAATTCCTACTGCATGTTTCTGTAGACTAGTTTTCATACTAACGCATCGTGCCACTCTTAACCCCTTGACTACTGAATTTTCTCAACCTCATTTGCTTAATACAGGGACCACTCGGTTCCTGTAGGCAATGGGTTTACTTTCTTTCAATGCTTCTGATGGAGTAGATCTGCTAAATGTTTGGTCCAAGAATAGTTGTTTCATTTTTCTATTATAAAAACAAAATGTAGGCTTATACGCATTGGAAGATAAGCATGCTAAACAGAACCATGAAACAAAGAATCAACCTCATAAACTAGCCCATAAAATCTCATTCATGAGAATTGGTCTGAGATATATTTATGCTGAATGTCGCTTATCATAAGTAATGCTAATGTACTGAATTGCCATGATAAGACTTCAATAACTGATGAGTGTTTCTGATGTACAGTGTGAGGTAATTTGAGAATGACTGCACATTACTACCAGGATGTTGTGTGGTAACTAGACCTTGAGGTGTGAATGTGACAGAAAATTGTCCTAAAACCATTGACTACTGGATTCTCTCCTTCGTATAGACTTAATAAGGGAACCACCCAGTTCCTGTAGCAAATAGATTAAGAAGCTCAGCAGACTATCAGATTAATCATGTTAATCCATTGAAGGTTAATTCAAATAATATGAAACTTGGGGATGACATGTGAAGATTGAAGATTATCATACTCTTCTCCTGGTACAGATGTATATGAGGTAGCTTTGGATTAGCATGATACAGTAAATGATTTTCTTTCTTTTTAATGCTTGATGAGACAAAAATACTGCTCAAGGGCTGTAATTTCCCAAAGTAACAGGTTTCATTTCATTATTAACATTGATATCGTAAAGATGTATCCTTTAATTGGAGTACATTTTTAGTCCAGTGAGTTTAGGAAATAGTAGATAATACATAGCCACTCTCTCTCTCTTTAAAACCTTTATTAAAAAATTTGGTATACCGGTACCTCCATATTTCAGACATTTTGTTTCTAAAAGAAATTCAGTCCCTAGGTACACCCCAATTCTCCCCTTTGCTGTTATGCCCTTACCAATGCACCTTAGTCTTGCATATTTTGCACATTAATATATTTCTTTTTAGACACAATTGATTTAAAGTATGCAGACTTATAAGCATATAATGATGCCTGTCAAATTAGGGCACTTGTGGTTTGTTTTAAATAATAATAATTTTGTCTTCTTCCTTAATAAATTTATTTTATTGAATATTGCTGAATTCCTTTAGTTATATTTGGAATGCATTTGAGTAAATGATAAAACGCTTTTAATATCTCCTGTTTTAATGGTTAGATTTAAAGCTGAATTCCTATTTGTGATTATGTAAGGAGATATGTTTATTCTTCCTGTTTCTTCTACATCTGGACATATATATGTTTTTCTTTTGGTTTTAGATTTTCCAAATGAATTTCATACCGTCAACACGGCCTCTGTATTAGTTATCTTTATATTATGTATCTCTGGTTCCTCCCAACCCTCCCTCTCTTTCCCTCTTTATATCTCTCTCCCCACATTGCTCCCACACATTAAATCAAAGTTATCCTTATCTCTAACTTTTGCTTATTACAAATTTCTTCCTCTCTGTCTTTACCTCTTTGTTTACGGCAAATTGAAACTTTCTGCTGACACATTATTTAAGTGAACTTGTACAGGTGTATGTGTGACAAAAGTCTACTTCGGCAGTCCACTGTTAGTTTAATTGGTAGACCAAAGCACTCAAAGAGTTATATCAATATTTTTCCCTTCCTCTTGATTATTCACAATGATTTTTATGCACCTGCTTCTACCCAACCTACCTTTCTATCTTCACTCGCCTATTAACCCCTGGATGCCGTTTTAAGCCCCTTCCTTCTCGCAATCACACTCTTCCTCTCTACCTTCTTCTTTTCTACCACGTTAAATTCTCATGCACATTGTGCGCTCTTATGCCTTTGCAGGATTTGCTGAAAGGTTTGTGTGGTCCGACAGGCAAACAAGCCAGCCATACCATGCGAGACAAATGTGTAAGAACATCTGCTATCTGCATCCCTAACCCTCTGATTACCAAAGCACGGCTTAATTACCAAGCTTTATGTTTTACCCTGTATTCAGGATTCAGTCAGGTGTATTTACACCAAGACAACTTTAATCAAATTCCTGATCAATCTGTTTCCCTTAACGTTCAAAGTATCAAAAGTACAATACACTATGAACATGATATGTTAAAATGTGTAGAAAAGGTGAATATGCATGTGACACCTGTTCTACACATTTTTACATAATAGCAGTGAAGGGGTGTTCCTTTGTCTACCACAGCAATTGTTAAGGGTAGAATGAGGAACTGTATATTTTGTCCTCTTTCTTTGTCCGTCATGTTCATAGTGATATCCATGTACCCTTCCCAAGTTTTGTAATAAACACCTTCTTAAGGATCACTCTGGTGCATTCAAACCATAAAAGAAAAAAATTCTTAGAAAACAAATGTCCTATCTACATCCTTAAACCTTTAATTACTAAAGCGTGGATCTTTGTAGCCTTCCTTGGTTTTGTAAAACCCCATCTTAATGATTTAGTCAGGTGGATTCATATCTTGGAAGATAAATTGTCGGAAAATTCTTAATCTGAACCCTTAGCACAGTACCCTTATACCCTTTCAGAGTTAAGGTTATACCATGTGTAAAGGATTCAGTGAGGTTCATTCAAATCTTGAAAAATATATATAAATTTATGAGCAAATCCACTGTTTGAATCCTTAAATCACTGAGTATCAAAGTAGAGTATCCTGAAATTGTGTAGTACCTTTACCTGTCCTACTAGAGTTAAGTCAATGAATTCATACTGGATATCAAACCATATATGGCCGATGTATATAATGACATATTTGTTCTACCTGTACGTGTATTTGCATCTCTAACCTTGTGAATACCACAGTAACACAGTATTCTTATGTACATGTAGCATCCTCATACTCCAATATCAAGTTTCAATTAATCTACACCACCCAGTGTACTTGAATCATATGAGATCATTAGCTTCCTTTACCTTCCAAACTGAAGTATTCTTTTCTACTTCAGTCATGCTGTCCCCTACCTCAGAGTTATAAACTTCTAAGGTAACCTGTACCACACAGATATAACCTTATGTATCCATTCAAGGCCACAGTTATAACCTTATGTATCTATTCAAGACCATAGTTTTAACCTTATGTATATATTCAAGACCATAGTTATAACCTTATGTATCCATTCAAGGCCACGGTTATGACCTTATGTATCCATTCAAGACCACAGTTATTACCTTATGTATCCATTCAAGGCCACAGTTTTAACCTTATGTATCCATTCAAAGCCACAGTTATGACCTTATGTATCCATTCAAGGCCACAGTTTTAACCTTATGTATCCATTCAAGACCACAGTTATTACCTTAGGTATCCATTCAAGACCAAAGTATAGGAACTTTTCCCTGTCTTCATCATTCATATTTTAACTGCCAAAGGACAGTATCATTTTTGTGTTCTCCTTGTATAGTCATTCCTCCACTTCATTCCACTACAAGGTTTAGTTATTAAAACCAAGGTATGTGTCCAATCATTCCCTATCATGTCAATATCAAGGACAGTCCAATACCCCACCCCCCCCCCCCAATTTTCATTTCCCAATTTTTCATGTTTTGTAAACTTGAACCATAAACCAGGTGTGTCAACTCAACAATGCTCAAAATTGAAGGAAAGTTTTTAAGAATGTACTACAATCCTGTGCTGGTGCTCCCTGTTCTATTATTCTTTTATCTGTCAATTCTTGAACATATGATGGATTTGTGTGCAGTGTGTGTGTGCAATAGTTTGGAGTGGGAGGGAGGGAGTTATGATACATGTGGACATGTATGTACTTTATACAAAGGTTTTAAGTTTGGAAGAATTGCAAGGTTGACTGTTGTAGCATATTTGATTAGAACAGATATAAGAAGCAGTGTGGGCATGCATAACTCATTTGACTGTGAATATATACTTGTGATATATACATTAGATTGTCATCATGTAAGCACTATTAAAACAGAACATTATCGTAAGTAAGTGAGATGCATGTCAAAGAATCACCTGTCTGTCAAGTGCATGCATACTGTTAGATTCATATTTCATCTTTTGTAAATATTTGCTAGTACATATTGATGTATGATAGAAAAAGTCATGAATACCATTTCATATTCATTTTAATTCAATATCTATTATTCCATGGATGTTGAGTCAGACATTTTACTGAGCTAACTGTTTACAAAAGAGTGCAATTTATTAGTTCTTGATCTCCAACTATCTCCTCATAGTCACGATCACCCTACTTCGAGCTTGAGCATGATGTCATTGCTTAACGTTAATTGATCTTCCTATCTGTACATGTATCAACATTCATGATACCAAATATTTTAAGTATCATACTTGCTTGTATAAGTGCCGTATCAAAATATGAGAAAATTTTCTTATCACAGGTAATAAAAACGGTGCGGGTCAGACAAAGACTAATCTTTGATAATATGTACCAAATTCAAACATTGTCTGAACTTCACATAGCAAGCTTTGAAATAGACTAGAATTTTCCTTCTATAAGTGTTAGCCTTTTCTCTCTTACCTTTATATTAGTTAGAAAATTATGACAATAGAAATGTTTGATCAAATACAATGCAAAATGTAAACAAAATATGAACACCAAATATTCAGCAACAAAATTAATGTGCTGAATCTGGAAACTTAATCGCAAGGCTTTCATAGGCCTTTTCAAGTTACTTCACAGCATGTTCCTAAAATAAATGATTAAAATGAGCTATTAATAAGTATTAATATCACCTATAAACATTTGCAACGTTTTGGATTTTCATCTCTATTTTCTTCGGTATTGTATAATCACTGGTTTTCTATATTTGTATATATATATAGGCGTGAAGAAAAAGGTCTAGGAACGTGAGACGTAGCTGTACTTTACAAGTTTATTACAAGCTTTCGGCTTGTGAGGCATTCTTTATACTTTTTTTCTTTTTCTTTTCTTCTTTTTCTTTTTTTTCTTTGCTTAATGTATTTCAAAGCTAATGAACCAAACTACCCTACACATTCAATGTGCTATTTTTGTTCATTTATTTTGCATTATATTTTCTTCTTTCTTTGAAAGAGAATGTTGCATGATAACGGGCATTCTTAACTGTACTTATCATCTGTTCAGAGCCTGAAGGGTCAAAGTAAACAATGTATATACTCCCTTCTGGCTCCAGAGAGAGATGAGTTACCCTTTCTTTGCTGATGTTCACTTTTGTAGGATCAGCAGACGATTCTAAGAACCTGGGCCGTCAAGGATTTTGCACCTGATGTCCCTCAGTACATTCAGATTCTCAAACCAGACAACAGATTTCATGTCCAGTTTGCAGGTAGGTGTTTTGGATTGATCAATGGTGTTTGTTTTGCTGAGAGCTACATATAAATACATTTAGTTTAGGTAACGTAGCGAAATTTACTGGCACGTAAAGACATGTTCAGAATGCGTAATTTTCGAAAATCATAACGTTGTCACACAAGGCCTGTTTTCATCAGCTCGAGATTGCCAAATAACCTGCTATTTTAACTATCCTGATCAGATACTAACCAGTTAATTTGCGTCTTCATCAGCCAGTAGTTGCAATTAGCGGGATGTTTGGTCAAGAAAATGTCCTGAGAAATCTTGGTCTTGTTCCCAAAATATCCCGCTATTTGGGAAATAGTGGGCTAATTTTCGCCCTTCCGAGCTAGTTTGTGATGAGCGTATCGGTCTGGTGAAGACGCAATTTCGAGCTTCGGGATAATATCCAGAGTCTGAAATAGCGGTTATTTGGCAAACTCAAGCTGATGAGGACAGGCCTACAGAGGTAGAATCACATTGTTAGGATAAGGAGCTGGTAGATATATGTACCATCTCAATGAAGCTTAATGTTACCTCAGTAAACTTTCATTCAAATATCTCACATAAAGAACTTTTAAGTAACAAACATCACTAACTATTATGCCTTTTTGCATTTTGGATGTATCTTTTTTGTATCACTACATTTGACTAAGCTACTTTATTATTGATGCGGAAATGGCATCTGGGTTTCAATACACTTTGCTTTCTTTGACATTCAGAAACAGGATGCAAGGCTAAAATTTTCAATAAGCCAAGAAAGTTGTTAAATTTGATATATATGTTTAGTATATTTCTTGATGATATTTGCATCCCTTTCATTCTGTTGAAATCAAAACTAAATCTGTGTTATTCCTCTCCCTCTGTCCCCTCCTTTCTGTTCCGATCATCCTTAACTTGTTCTTCTCTTTCACCTTCTTCTATTTCTTTTTGTCTCCTTGCCTTTGGTATTCTTGTATGTATCTCTCTCTCTCTCTTTTCTCTCTCTTTCTCTCTCTCTCTCTCTCTTTTCCTCCTTCCTCCCCTCCCTCTCTCTCTTTCTCCCCTTACCCCATTCAGACCATGTGGTGTGTGAGGACCAGTTCAAGTATGCCCTCCTAGCCAATAACTGTCTGTGTCCCGGGACCTCTACCTTTGTTACCCTTCTCATCCATACCTCCAGAGGAGTGTAAGTATCGCCCGTTTCAAATCCGTTAGATACAACTAACAAGTATAAAGTCAAACCTGCTTTAGTGACTACCAGTCTACAGAGACCACTTTTTGTGTTCCCTTGGGCAGTCACTGAAGACAGGTTTGACTGTATTACGAAAGAAAAGGTGTACGTGAAAACAGCTTCGAGTTATTACCAATCAGTGAACAATTTGTTTTCAAAGAGTTACGTAAGTTGAATGTATCAAAAAGTACTGGGTTAGACTTGATTCCAGCTAAATTTCTAAAAGATGGTGCGAAGGTTTTATTTAAGCCTCTAAGTTACTTAATGAATCTATCTATCTTGACGAGTACTTTTCCAGAGGATATGAAAATAGCAAAAGTGACTCCACTTTATAAAAAGAAAGATAAAACTGATGTTAGCAACTATAGACCTATTAGTGTTTTAAGCGTAGCATCAAAGATTCTAGAAAAATCGGTCTGTGTTCAAATTGAAAGATACTTCAAAGAAAATGATATAATTTATGAATTTCAATCTGGTTTTCGACATGATTATTCGACTGAAACATGTCTAATTCATTTGACTGATTATTTGAGGAGAGAAACTTCCCAAGGGCGCTTTGTTGGTATGGTGCTCCTTGATCTGCAAAAAGCTTTTGATACAGTTAATCATTGCGTCTTATTGAAGAAGTTACAACTAATGGGTTTTGATAAGGCAAGTTTAGATTGGTTTAGATCCTACTTATCTAATCGGCACCAAGTAGTGGCCATTCATGATATTCGTTCCAAACTAATGCCTATAACTTGCGGTGTTCCTCAGGGAAGCATTTTAGGCCCAATTCTATTTTCAAGTTATATAAATGATATGTGTATTTGTATAAAAGACTTCAAACTATTATTGTACGCAGATGACAGCGTACTACTCTATTCAAATCCTGATCCTAAATATGTTGAGGAAAAGCTCAGTGAACAGCTGTCTACGTGTGTCGATTGGATGACTGATAATAAGCTTTCTTTACACTTGGGAAAAACAGAAAGCATTTTATTTTGTTCTAAAAGTAGTTCTAAAAAGTCATTTGAATTCAAAGTGACACACAATAATCAAGCAATCAAGAGAAAAGAGTCTGTGAAGTATTTAGGCATTGAGTTGGCTAGCGCAATTTCATTTTCATCTTTAGTAGAATCAGTTGTAAAAAAAGCAAATTCTCGTCTGAAATTTTTGTACAGATATCAAAGTTGTATGGATTTAAAAGCAAGACGTACACTCTGTTTTGCTCTTATTCAATGTTTATTTGACTATGCTAACCCTGCATGGTATAGTAACATAAACAAGTCAGATCAAAAGAAGTTGAAGATTATACAGAACAAAATGGTGAGATTTATCAACTGTTCTGGTCCAAGAACTCATGTTGGCTACAGCGAACTTTCTAAAGCTGGTTTTCTTGAAGTCGACCAAAGATCAAAACAACTCGTATTGCATCATGTGCATAAAATATATCATACTAGGTCGAATCATTATATTCGATCCAACTTCGATCTTGTTACTGACGTACATGATTATAATACAAGAAATAGACGATTCAACTTTAACTTACCAGAAAGAGTAGGTAGTATTGGAAATTCGTTTTATTACAATGCCATAAAACATTGGAATTCCCTTCCCAATGGTGTAAAAGAAATAGGAAACTATGATCATTTTAAGAGGAAATTAAAGGAATACCTAATACTTGACAGTCAGACAAGAGAAGTGAATGACATGTTATATGATTGAAATTTTTATTCTTCTGTCGGTTCATACTTTTTCATGTTGTATATACTTATGTTTTCGTACGTTATAGAAATTCTACAAATTCATCATTATTTTCCTCTTCTTCCTTCTCCTCTTTTTCTTCTTCTCCTTCTTCTTTTTCTTCTTGTACTTGATATCATTTCTATCATCAGTTTAATGTTGTTATTATTATTATTATCTTTAATAAGTAGTTCTTTTAATTTTCTTATCTGTCTGTAAATATTACTATCTTAACTTATTAATTTTATACATGTCTGTAAGGGACCCCACTGGAAATAAGCTCTCGAGCTTTCGTGGGTTATCCTGTTCAAGCTGACTTTTTTTGATCTGTTATTATTGTATATTGTTGTATGTTGGAAGCTTGTCGAATAAAAATCAATCAATCAATCAATCAGTCTAGATGCTAATTATAAAGTCAATTCAGGGGTTCGCACAAGAAGGAAAGATCATATGGCTGGTGACAATCTCTTAGAAATCTTTGGCATAATCCTTCAAGTTATGATGATAAATATGATTTCGGAGTTAGTCATAACGTATTACAATTGTATATGTAGTATAAACATCATTTTGGGTATTGGGGAAGGGGGTATTTTTTTGTTTGTTTCATGAATAACACAATGATCTATGGCAGAGACCTCTCAGACTTGGATCTATGGAAATTGTGTATTGCACCTACATGTTAATCAAATTGTATTCAACATGTTTATGGATTAGAATCCATCTTGCATTCAGTTATTGGGTGCTGCTAACCCTCTCATACTAAAATACCCCATGGAGCATCAATAGTCATTGCTACTTTTAAAACTGACAATATGTATTACCCTTTGAATCATTGGTATCTTGTTATACTTTAATCATAAGTTATTGAGTCTTGTCTTAACCCACTGACTACTGAGTTATCAAGGTCCCATAGGCTTAACACAGGGACCACCCGTTTCCAGTAAGCAAAGGGTTAAAACAGATTCTATATTGCTTTATCTTCCAGGGAAGGCTGTGACTCCCATTCTCAGTGGCAGCGCACATACGGTCGTTGCTCTGGTAACGAGGTCTATCACATCGTCCTTGGCAACAGCAAATTCTTCAATGAATACGAGGGCAAAAGCTTCACCTACGCATCGTTCCATGCGCACAAGAAGTAAGTCTATCGTAGTCAAATTTGTTCATTATGTCGCTAATCCAGAAACGAGAATACTAAAAGGAATCTACAATTTGGCTTTTCATTTTCAATTTGGGCAACACTAGTTTTGTACTTTGATTGCTATTTTTCTCAAGATGCTTTGTGTGTGAAATAAGAACAAATGAATAAATTTTGATGTAAACTAGGCCATAACTAGTCATTTAATAAAAGAAATGCATTCCCTGATAAATCAACAAACAATATTCTTCTTTCCCCCCCCCCTTCATAGATAAGATTAATTTAATAAAATCATGCAATATTTCTACCAATTTTGAACATATAAGCTGTGCAATTCTTTTTCATGTAGAAGCAAAAAGAAAAAATATGTATTTATGTTTCTCTTAAAAGGGACTCTGTTTGCCAGTATTGCTGTATATGAGGTATCCCCATTCCATTTCCTTTACTGTAATATTCCAACACTCATTGTAAAACTGTAATTGTATGATGCAAATTGTACGCTCATGATATTGAATCAGACAAATGAAATAAATGAACTCTCGACCAATTTTCCTTGCCAGGTACGGTGTCTCGCTGGTCGGGATTAAGAAGCAGGAGGAGATTGCTAAGATTCAGCTCAACCCTGGCCCTCGTCACATCATGAGGGTGTCTGATATCTGCTTCTACATGAACATCTCCCCGGAGGAGAACTCCACCTTCATCCTCAACCATCCTAACGAAGATAACGACGGCAAAGAGAACAAGATGGATAAATCACCAAGCAATGCCTACGACAGCAATGGCACGGGCACATCTCGCATTGAGAGCGCAATCGCTAGTGTTGGTAAGGCCGATATTTGATTTTAACTTGCTTGTTTGTGTGATAAATTTTGAATCAAAGAATAAATCTTTGCTCAGTTTGATATCATGATAATCTATTGGATCTATATGTACTCAGAAGAAGTTGAAGAAGATATAACATTTAGTACTGTAAAAGAAATCTACAGTTATTTGTAAAGTCAAAGTTATTTGAATGGTTGTAATATGATTATTTGAATTTAATATAAAGCTAATTATGTTGATGATTCAAATTGTTATTTTGAAATCGTGTCAGTATTTCTATAAAAATGATGTATTGGACTTTTCTCGAATGCTCAGAAAATCTTGATGAATTTTCAAGCAAATTGATTGAAATTGGTTTCCCACAGTTTGCAGGAATCTGTACTGTGCAGGATTTAAACTGCATTAAACAATGAAATAACAAATGCTTTCTCGTCTATCTAGGTTCTATGGCATTGGAGTTGCATCATTTTGGAAGCACAAGGTCGAGTAACAGCGCTAGTGGTACAGCCACATCACCATCGTCAACCTCATCTGCCTCAGAACCAAAGAATAAGCTTGAGCCCTCATCTGGGCGGGGCACATCAGGTTAGATTGTCTACATGTCAAACTTTTCCTTTGAAATCTGTTTAATTTTTAAAATTGAAATATGAAAGAGGTTTACTTTTTGTATAAATCCATCTGAAATTGTTTTTAAAAGCTTGTTGGAAAGTATCTAACAAAGAAAAATCGTAAAGTGTAAAGGAGAGTGAAGAGAAAATTGTCTTCTTTCCATTCTTTCTTTTAGAGTAAGCTTTGTGAAGGCTTTCAAGGGGCAAATGCTAAAAAGTTGCCGGTTTTATTTTATTTCTTGCTTGAAATATTGTGTTCGATGCTTATTTTTAATATTGTGATGTACATATACAATGTATGTTCATGTTTGGAAGCATTAGATAATTATCTTGATTTTGTCTGTTCTCTGTTCCCTCAGGTGGACTGAGGGTTGAAATCCCCCCTCGTAGCTCAATGGACCAAGCCATGGATCGTAACCACCTGATGCCGCCAGGGGGCGGAGACGACGGAGGGACCTTCACCACCAGGGTGATGGATGATGACGAGTGTGCACCCCCGATGCCCAGAGGGAGGGAGGGACGACGCCCCTCTATCATGCCGGTCCTGGAGATGATGTCGTCCGACCCAGAAGATGACCAGCTGAGGGATGACAGGCCTCTCCAGGCACAGAAGCAGGTGGCCATAGAAACGGAGGATGTGTCTGTGTGGGATGAAGAAGATCCGTAAGTTTTCACAGAAGAAAAGAAGTTTAATTCTAAAAGGATATGAGAAGAAAAATATGGAAGAAAAGTGTTTTATTAGATATACTTCAGTCTGATGCATAAATCAATCTGCAACAGCAGAGGTGTGGGGGAACATTTTCATCGGGGGGGGGGGGGGGGGGGCTGATGGCTCGTGCCTGATTACCAACTTTCTATTTTCCAAATTTTGAAAGCAGCAGAAGTGAGTCAGCAAAAAAAATTGTAAAATTGCCATTTCCTCATGAAAATACATTAGATAAGATTATATTATTTTATGAAATTATTTTTTTTAAATACATTTTTCGGACTATAATGCGCACTTCACTTTGCATCATAGAATGATTCTTGTCCTGATTATGTTCAATATTATTTATATGCCCTACATGTACCAAAAATTAAACTCATTGCTACCAAACATTGAATTGTGGTTTTCTTACTTTTTTATTTGTTTCCATATGTGTGCATTTCAGGTGGACCAAAGGAACACCACCTCTGATTCCATTCATTGGTTACCAGCCAGGATGCTGTCATCTTCTCTCTCAACCAAAGAAGCTCTGCTGTCTAGAAATTGATCAGGTAAAGAACAATAAACACCCTTAGAAAGGACCGGTTTACTAACATATTCAAATTTATGGATGTTTCTTTCCTGGGGACCTAGTGATGAGTTATTCCATGAAACTGTTATTAAAGAATAAACTGCAATACTCAGAATCTAGACTGCATATGTTACTTGTTGCTATGTAGGGCAAGCCTTGGCAAAATTCAAGAACAACCTTTTGTTTTAAATTATGCATACAATTTGGATATGTTAGTAAACTGTCCTAGTGTGTCCTGATGTAATTTTACAGGCAAACTGATAAGATCCTTTTAACACATCTACATCTCATCTAGATATCAATATGTATCAATCATTGTAATTTTGCACAGGCAATTCAATTATAACAGAGATATCAATGGGTTTTGATGAAGGATATTGAACAGGTACAGCCAACTTTTTTTTTCTAGTGCTCACTATCACCCCTGAAGATCAGTATAACACATCTACATCTCATCTAGATATCAATATGTATCAATCATTATAATTTTACACAAGGAATTCAACCCTAGCAGAGATATATATTTTTAGTCCTTTGATGAAGTTAATCGAACAGGAACAGCCACAATCTTTCTCAGAAGCATGTACATGTATGTAATACATCTACATCTAATCTAGATATCAAAGGGTTTTACTAGAGTAATTGCACTTGCAATGTAGTGGTTGCAAAAAGATACACGTATTAATACATCTATATCAAATTGATATCCAATCTAGACAGCATGGGAATATAGGGGTCATTTAAGGTTTCCTGCTGTGACAAATAAAGGGATATTCCAGCATTTTCTGAATGGACATCTGAATTGGCCTTTATTGTGTCAAAGATTATAAGGTCCAAAGACTCGGCTCAAGATCATGAATTCGATTGGGATTTTTTGTTGTTTTTGTAAAGGGCCAAAGTTTAAAATTCATTTGACCATGGAGTTATTGTTGACAAAGCATTTATTGGAAGATCAGTGTCTTCAATGTCTCAGACTCTCTCAAATTTGGTTCTTATTGTCAACCTCAAGGTTATGATGGACTTTTTGGTACCTGTTTTCATGTATACTTCAAATTATATAAATTTTAATCAATTGCAACCCAATTTTTTCTTCAGCCATGTGATTATTCGAGCTGGAGGCATGCAGCGCAGTATAACTGTCCCCCAAATTACATTATCATCATTATCATCATTTCTTTATTACAATACTATTCTCACTTTTATTTCAAATTTATATTTTCAAATGAATCAAATCCAATGCAACCCATTTTTCTTCAGCCATGCGACCATTCGAGCTGGAGGCATGCTGCGGAGTATAACTGGCCCAACAACTGCATCATCCTAGCGGTAGAGTATGCTGCGTTGGGTATGGTTGACTTCATCGTACCCCTGAGGGCGCACTGGAGACCCAAACACACTCTCAAGCCTATCGTCATTCTAGTTGAGAAAAGGTGATTAGGAGGATTTTTATTACAGAGTATAAAATTATCAATTATGAATGATTAAGGGTTTTAACTGATATTTTGAGTTTGAACCCTTGTGGCATTGTGACATTTTGAATATTTAATTTTTTTTCCTAACCACTGCTGTAAAATGTACATCAAAAGTTTTCCTTGATTTTGTCCCAAGAATTTGCATACAATAGTAGAATTGAGAATAGTTAACAAGAAAAAAGTGAAAAAAATAGCAATCCATTGTTTAAAGTTATGTTTGTGCAACTGTTGGAAATGCCTTATAAGGTAAATGTGAAAGTGATGATGAATAGGGACTCATACATGACATTCTCAATGTCTTTTCTTTCATTTCAGACCTGATACATGTTTCCTTGAGTCCATAGCAGCATTCCCTATGGTGTACTATATGATTGGCACAATTGAAAGGTATGATATCAATTAATACCAGTATTTAGAAATGTTTTCCTGCAATGGATCCCTTTCATTCTTTAAATCACGTTATGCTTATTTCATTCACAAAAATATTTATGAAAATGATGACGATGATAATGATGCTTGAAGATTGTTTACCTGGGAAAGCATGTATATGCTTGTAAGTAAGCAACCAGGGGACAGATGACTTTGAGTCCTATCTGAGGGACGTACCTGGTAATGAGGATTAATGCCTTACCAAAAGGGCACAAGCGCATTGACTTAATAGGTTCCTCACCTTTCAGCCTGTATAACCTACCATTTAAAACGGTTAATTTTGACGTCTTTACAAAGACTTGATTATATAATGTCATACTTTGAGTATATTTCAAATTATGTTACAATTTTGTCATTTATGTGAATTCTGTTTTGTAAAAGGTGAAACAAATAAACTTGAAACTTGACTTGATTTGGAATCTGGTACTTCCCGGTTACAAGACCATAGCTCTACCACTAAGCCGTTGCACCTCCTATATTTTGCCAAGAAAAATATATAGCTAGTAAGATATAGTAATAGTATAGTTCAGTATCATATTAATGTACCTTTAGCACACTAATTGCTATTTCTTGCTTAATCTTGCCAATGCCCTTTCCAACATTCTAGAACAAGTGTATTCAAAATTTGACCACAGAAAAAGCTTTCAAACATAACCTGGCTCCAAACATTAAAGGGGCATTGACATCATTGGAAGAGGGGGAGGGGGAAGAGGCAATTGGTCAAACTCTGGATGAAAGGCAAATTTACAAGGTCATTAATTATGGGCAGTTGTAGGAAGGGGCACAATGTATTCTTTTTATGTTTCCTTTCCCCACTCCCTTTTTCCCTTTTTTGCCATTTGTTTGGAAAGCATGTGCCCCCCCCCCATCCCATCCCTGTAGCTAGCTGTGCCAATTAATACATGTAATGTAATATTTGTATGAGTAACCCAAAGATACAATCCTTGATATTTGTGTTTGTATGTTTAGCCTTGATGACCTCCTTCGTGCTGGTATCCTTCAGTCAGACACCGTGGTGGTCGTCGACAAGGAATCATCTAAACTAGCTGAGGAAGACTACATGGCAGATGCAAACCAGATTGTAGCTGCTCAATACCTCTTCAAGTAAGTCTAATTGTCTCTATTATGTTATCTATCTAGTTATATTGTTTAAGGTATTCCCCGCCCCCTTCCCTAGACATTTACATATATTAGCTACAAGAGAAACTGTGTTATTATGCCTGATTGCACCACCAAATATACAAAACTGGGCCCTATTTCATAAAACTTAGTATTGATAACAAGTTACAATAACTGTTATACTACTGAAAATCGCGAGATTTGCATGGCTAAGAACAAATTTGTCATAGAAGTTTAGCATTTGCTATTGATAACACATTTTATGAAATCAGGCTTGTACCACAAGTAAAGTATTGTGAAATGTTTGTAATTGTGTTCTTTTTTTACAATTTATATTGACAAAAACAGTATGATGTATAGATTCAACATTCATGAATCCTGTTTGAATATCAAGTAGAAATATCAGCTCTTGTTAGTCCAAAAATGATCAGTATAATTGCCTACAACAATGTAAAGGTTAAAAAGAGCACATATGTGTGTTTCAGTTAAGGATTGAAAGTTGTATCACATGTTCTCTCTCTCTCTCTCTCTCTCCTTTCTCTTTCTTTCTCTCTCTCTCTCTCTCTCCCTCCATCTTTCTCTCTCTCTCTCTCTCTCTCTTTCTCCCTCTCTTTCTCTCTATACAATATTTGTTATACTATTTTGTATTCTGTACATCTATCATTGATTCAAATAAATAATAATAATAATACATGAGATTTATATAGCGCCATTATCCATTTTAATTAAATGCTCAAAGCGCTATATGTTTTCAATGCTAGAAGCTACCTGTGTTGTATTTTATTGAGGATTATTCCTCTTCTGTTTATTTGGGGTTTTTCTTTTTGTTTTAGACTATTTCCTCACATCAGCATCATCACAGAATTAACTCATCCGTCCAATATGAGGTTCATGCAATTCAGAGCTAAAGACTCCTACGCACTCAGAATGGCTGAAAAACAGAAGGTATATAAACATCAATTATGAATAATAAATAATAATACAAATAAGATCTTCTATTGCATAGCGCATTTCAGGATTGTAGGCCCTCACAATGCACTTTACAAATGCAAATTACAATCAATGGTAACACTTTACCATTGTCAGTTTCAATTCAGATATTAGTCTCAATTATACACATTACTACAGTCATAACCAATGAACTCTGTAAAGTGTAAACATTAAATGAATATGAAGATTACAGTTGAAATGTAGGACATTTGCTGGAATTGGTAGTCATACTATTCGCCCATTGTCAGTATTCAGAGTAGAATAGTAACATACCAATTGACTAAAACCTGATATAAAACTGTTCTGCTGCAGATATTAAAGAGGTTTTATTTGTAAGTCTTTTGGGTAAACTGTTAAGTCATTGCAGTTTATGCTTGCCAGTTTGTCAATTTCATTCTTATGTTGACAGTTGCCATGACAATCATGTATTGCTTGTATTACAGAAAGAGAAGGAGAAGGGGTCCAACATCTCCTACATGTTCCGCTTGCCTTTCTCTGCGGGTAATGTGTTCAGTGCCAGCATGCTCGATACCCTTCTCTACCAGTCGTTCGTCAAGGAATACATGATCAGTTTCACCAGACAGCTCCTAGGGTTAGATCAGGCTCCTGGATCAGGCTATCTGTGTGAGGTAAGGGATAGAGAGGTGGTGGTGGTGGCGGCGGCGGGGGTGGCGGTGATTATGATGATGATGGTGGTGGTGGTGGTGATGATGATGACGAGAATGATGATGATGGTGGTGGTGGTGGTGGTGATATTGATGAGGATGATGATGGTGATGATGATGAGGATGATAGTGTTGGTGGTGATGATGATGATGATGATGATGATGATGATAGTGATGATGATGATGATGATTATGATAGTGATGATGATGGTGGTGATGACGACAATGATGATGATGATACGCTCCTCTACCAGTTCCTCTTAAAAAAATACATGATCAGTTTCACAAGACACCTCTTGGGGTTAGACTATAAGCTCAGGCTGTATGTCTCTGTGAGGATTAATGTGATGATGATGAAGATGATGATGATGAAGATGATGATGATGACGATGACATTTGTCCGTAGTCTGTCATGGAAAACATGTATGATCAACTTAAGATGATTGATGCTTAAGATGTTTTCATTGTATGTCTTTACAGTTGAGGATAACGCATGAAGATATGTGGATCCGAACCTATGGCAGACTGTATCAGAAGCTGTGTTCAACGACCCATGAGATACCCATTGGAGTCTACAAAACACACAACCAATCCGATAACAAATCAGAGGTGAGTCTTTTAAACCAGTCTAGGTAATGCACAGTGTATAGATTGAACCAGTTGGAAAGTGGATTTCATTTCTTTTCTAGCTTTCAAGGCTGAGGTTTGGTGAGGTGGTCTTTTCTTGACATTGATATATCAAAATTCATGACAACAAGGAATTATATGATTCACCCCAATTTAATAATGAAAGACAGGAGGCTTCTTGCAAGATATTGGTGTGTAAATCTTTGTAATAAGCTGCAATGATCCAGTTGCAACAACACTGTAATCGTCTGATTTGTAAAATATCCTTCAGTTATGTTCTAAATTAGTGCTCATTAAAATGGCACTTTTATTGTACACATTTGCTTTACATGCATCATTGATCGTATCTCTCAGATGAGATATCTAAAGAGAAAATCAACTTACAGAGCAAAATTAATCCACTTTAGAAAGGGAGTTCACCTTACAATGCAGGTTCAACAGCGTATTGATAACAATTTGACATGGGTACATGTTCAGGATCAGAATACTTATGAATTATCTTGTACATAACTCAGATATTCACCTATGTACAAACATGACATTCATCCTATCACCATAACCTACATTTATTACAAGTCCAAGCCTTCATACTGGTCCATGCGGCAGGCAAATATGGTGAGTATTGATGTTCCCCACAAAGAAAGACATGCATAGATGTACATTGATTAACCTAGAAATCCATACATATGCCAAAACAATATGGTAACCTATGCAAATACAGTTCATATCCTCTGTAATTCTTCTTTACTGGACCACTGTTTTACATGTAGCAAGTGCTAGACTTTCATCGCTCTGCCAGGCTATAGCCTAGTTACATGTACATTCCGCACCGTGTATTTTAAAGTAATCATTTCCTGTTTCCATTCATCCCATTCTAAGTCCACATCAAACACCCTATGCAGAAAAGTCCCAAACTTAAACTGCTCTTATGTGTGTGGATCATCACCTCTGTCACGTCTACTACCTCTTTATAATATATAAATATGATGATAAATGTGCCTTTCTTAAAGTTAATTTGTGTGCAGCTAGGATGTATAAAAAAAAAGCTTCACCCAGCATTATATGTGCTAAGAGATAGGGAGTAGGAAGAAAATAAAGAACATAAAACTGCATATGCAGGCGTATGGATATGTCAAGAAGTTTACTCACAAGATCCCCTCTGGTGACATCTCAGGTCAGCTGTAGCACTATGGATCCAATAACTCGCTGCTTCCCAAGCTGCGCTGTTGGTCCTCACATTTATTCTACTGTCTGCGAAGTGGAAATTAGGTTTTGAGTAAGCACTGTTGCCAACTTGACCATGAGATGGCGCTGTTCAATAAACAATATGCTAGGGCAGAATGTTCATTAGTGCAGTATCGTTTTAACTTCTGGACCTACATTGTTTCCTTTTACAATCATTTCAAATTTCTGCTTGAAAGTGTGTCAAGGCACTTCGACTATCTAGATGATTCTCAATTTCTACATGTATTTGATTACTATCTCTGCTTGCAGTATACTTAAAACTAATAGATATCTATGGTTTGTGCCCAACGAAATTGGCAGTATCACATTCTTTACTGGTCTGCTCTGCAAGTTTACCTATCAACAAAATGGAATTAGACAAATAAATCATGTGTACAGTGTTATGTCATACTTTTTCTTCTATTCGTGGATCTTATTTAACCCATTGACTACTGAATTCTGTCATTCCAAAGGACTTATTCCAGGAACAACACAGTTCCAGTAGGCAATGTTTCACATTAATTATCTAAGCTAGCAAAACATATCCTTACTTGGGCAGTGCATAGAGTACCCTATTACAATCATATACATTGACACAGTAATCACTTCACTGTCATTGGCACCCTCTCTATCCTCCTCATTATCAACAAATGTTCATTCTACTCTTCTAAAATCAATTTTTTTCTCAATAAGTAAAGAACAAACAAAATGATGACTTCGTAAAATTGGCTGCATTTTTTATATGTCACTTAAGCTTTGTCCTGCTAACATTTCTCATCTTGCTCATCAGAAATTTGCAGAGAAAACAGGGTGTGCAAATGTTCTCCTGGTTTATACAACAAATAACAAACAGTATTCAATTCTTTTTAATGTTAAACTAGCTTATATGTATGGGGAAATCTATGTCAGAAGACACAAAGATTGAGTGTTGGTGTTCCAGTAAGTTACTACAGTGTATTTCTCTTTATGTTTATTCTTGCACATCATTGTTACAAAACACAAATCATTTAGGATTAAACTTTCCCTTTTTTCATGTTTTATTATTAGTTATCAGTCACCATAGAAGATGATGATAGTTTATCGTCTGGCCAATCAGAAGAGAGGAAAGAGATTGCTCATCTCGTCAGACAGAAGATGAAGAAGATGGATATCCCACCGGAGGAATATGGTCAGTTTCTTAAACTTTATAGTACTGTGATTTAACCTCAATGATATTTATATTGTTTCTAATATGTTTGGACTTAGTAAACTTAAACTTGTGTTTTTTTTAACATTAATGATAGGTCATGAATTGCAAAGTGAGATATTATGTAACCTAGTTAACATAAAACTGAACCTAATTTATCACCCCAAATTGTGTTTTGAAAATGTTTGTACACGATTTTGAATAGCACTGTGAGGGTTAAATAATTATAATCGTCACACATGATTAATATTATGGGTCATAAAGATATAAGATTAAGAGACTTATCTTGATGAGAACAAATGGTATATGAAATAATAAAGCTCTTGATTCTTAAGATGACTATGCTTGTTTTCTTGTATATACAGATAGTGAAGTGAGCGACAAGAGAAACAAGGTGTCTTACGTTCTCATCAATCCAAGCTTCGAAACCAAACTGGAAGTGGATGACATTATGTAAGTAGACCCTAGCTTACTCTTAAAGTGACTAGGTAACATTGCCTCAGATTCTGAAACAAAATCCTGGATTTAGCTCATGCTGCAATCATAATTATAAACCTTTAGGTCAGTCAGGAATCCCATGACTTCTACAAGCTTGTCTGATTATCAAGATATTTATGAGTGGAAATCTTTTTTTCATTTTCCTAACAGTTTTTATAACACTATAGTCTATTGGGGAAAATGAGTATGGTAGAACCGGTCACTCAAAGATTTTTACTTTTTTCAGGCACTTCATGATCATTTTGAAGCGCGATTTCTTTTAGGGCTTCAATATTACACCATATCACAGACACTGATAACACATAGGGCCTTACATCTCAGATTTAACATTGTTAAACGATGCCTTAAAACATGATAATCTCTTTGGAAAACACTGATCCTTCCTTCAGGTAGGATGTAGAAAGAAAATTCTGTTTTCTCAGCAATCCAGTTTAAACTTTGAAACCAAAATGAAGGTAGATGACATGATTTTCAGAAGTACCATCTCTCCATAGAATGTTTTAATAAGAGCTGAAGTGTCTGTCCCTCAAAAAATGCAGGTCCTGTGTTTTCATTAACTAATTATTTGAAATCCAGTGGTACATATAGTCAATATTGTGTGAGTATTCTGCCTGCTCACATTTAGACTGTTTAGAATGATCAGCTGAATCTCTGATAGGATGTAAAAATGAAGGCCCTTTGTTCTCATCGATTCCAAATTTTAACTCTGAGCTTGAATTAGTTAATGACTTTTGTTCCATTCAACATTTCTGTGGATGGTATCCACTTTACGATATATGTCAGACAAACCTCAGACAGACTTTTGAATGATCAAATGTATGTGATGAATACAATTACAGCTTATATTTTATTTTATAAACTATGTACAGTCAAACCTGCTTTAGTGACCACCTGTCTACAAGGACCACATTTTTGGTTTCCCTTGAAAATGGTTTCTCATTGAGACATGTTCTTAAGGAACCTGTCTACAAAGGCCACTTTTTGTGTTTCCCTTTGGCGGTCGCTATAGACAGGTTTGGCTGAATATTAGTAATCTGCAAGTCTTTAATTTGAATAAACTTTCTCTCTTCTTAGTTTCATCATCCGCCCAGCCGGTGGTCCCAAGACGCCCTCCCCCATGCCTCCAAGGAGGAAGTTCAGCAGCAGGAGGGTCAAACCAAAGAATACTCAACCCAAGACCCAGTTCCAAGAACCCACAGGGTCCAACGTGGACACCAAACTATAGGGCGCCCTCTCTTGGGCACTCTTAGAGATGTTCCTGATGAAGATGACCGTTGTACCTTTATGGTAGACCAGCCGCTGATCAATCCAAACTAGATCTAGCTGTGAAACCTCCTTTGGTTGGTGAGGTTGGATGTTGACCACCTTGGTCGGTTGGAAGCCAAAAATACAATTGATTTTTGCTTATTGAATTGTCAGAGGTAATCCTCTTGTTGCAGCTAGGCATTTGGCTTTGAATATGGTTGTTCCACCCAGTATCAACAGGGTAAATGCTTGACATTGTTAGTCAAACAGTTTTTGAGCGTCAAGTAACGCCTGGCTGGAATGCTCCCCTGGGAGTGGAGAATGTGCACACAGTGTGTGTGGGCAAGCACTGAATCCAATGACCGTGGTAATAGTATATCTGTAAAGTGCTTAGAGACATTGTATTAAGCACGATATAAAAGCGTAATATTATTATTATTGACATGAGGCTTACCTTGTACGGATTGTACCTGTTGGATCCTAAGCCTGAGATAACATGGGATGGAACCCACTGGAAATACATATTGAATGAAAATCAAATCTTTGCCAGGGGGTGAGCTATAGTGAGTAATGACAAAGAGCTATGCCAAGTGCGGGGTAAGGTGAATGCTGACCAATGAAAGCTTTGATTTGCAATCTTTGTTTTACAATCGGTATGGCTGTCTTAAAGAGCTATCTCATCCAGACCTACGTACCTGTTGAGATGCTGACATTCAAATGTAAGGAAGAAGGAACTTTACTCTACTCTAACGCACTGTTTGATTTGTGTAAGAATTAAAAACTGTAGTGGTATACATGCATGTTGAGTTAAACAAGGCAAGGCTGTAACCTTCATAGGGACAATATTTGGACGAATTGAAGTATTTAATTGCTGACGTACAGTGTACCATCATGTTACATCGACTGTATCTGTTATTCAATCTACAGATTATTTTCATGACTTGTCTCTTGTGAAAGATATGTGTCTATACTGATGTGCAGAAGGATATACAACCATCTTGACTTTGAGCCAAGAAGCCGACTTGAAATAGAATTTTATTGTTTTGAGATGAAGATAGTTATTGATAGCGAAATGGAGCCCTGCGCCGAAAAATGTTCGTTCTTTATTGGCTAGTAAAGGAAAAAGTTTGGTTTTGTAAGAAGCTAACGGAGGGCAGTCAAGTGATAAATGAAATTATTTTCTTTTGAAAAGAAACCATGACTGATCTGTGAATGAGTTCTTGGACTGGAACTACTTTTTATCTTGCAAATTCTAGTACATTCTATACCACTGAGGTTTGTAGTAATGGAGTATTATGGGTTAATGAGGATATTGGGGTAAAGGCAGAATCAACAAAATTATTTCAAAAATCACCAAGCTTTTGGAAAATGAAGACTCTAATACTCATATGTCATCATGAAATGCCTGCATTTTATACAAGAAACAAACAACCATGTTGGCAAAATTATCTCACTACACTTTATGTAGGATGACAAATCTTCATGTGGGGGGGGGGGGTTGTATCTTATTATTATCTTTCCGTGACCTTACCCCACACATCTTTTTATGCAAATATCAGATTTTGAGATAATCTAAACTGATTTGTTTCTAAACAATCATTATAATTGTGAACATTTCTTTTAATAGATATGAAGCTCTTTCAGTTTGGTGTTGACTTCATCTGGCTATGAAGTCAGGCAGGACCTTCAAACTTCTCATCTGTGATAGAGGAATATTACTTTTGATTTCAGGATTTGATTTCTATCTGATTTTGCCAACTATTGCATTCTTAATTTTGATATCCCGGGAGTAATTGTAGTCGCTTACATGCTGTTTTCCCCAATAAAAACACAATCAGATTAGTTTATAATTCCTGCCATGGCCTTGCATCCTTTGATGAGGCATTTCAATCAGACATGCCTCTCCCCACCCAGGTGTTTTATATAGGTACAGCCCCCACCCCCTCCTACATCACTTAAATGTCTTAAACATTGAAAACAAGATAATTCAGTGCTACATATGTTACACTCTAAAAGACGTACAGTGCAGTACAATCTCGGGTTGCGCTGCAATATCCCAACATTTTCCCTAATTACTACACTCACATACACATGTACAATGTAGAAATGTGAAACTGCTAAATTCTGGTGCCCCCCCCCCCCAAGTACAGCACATTTGATCATAGACATATATCTTGGCTTGTCCTGCCCCTTCCCCCCCCCCCCCCAACACACACCCACACACACCCACACACACGCAGACATATACACATATTTAGATCATGCATTTAGGTAGAGCTCCAAATTTACATCGTATAATATACTAAATTGATATCAATTTTAACCATCGACTCCCAACCTAAATAACCTAATTGTAACTTAATGAGGAATTGGGAAATTTGGATCAATGTTGGACAATTCTTTTGATGACAGTGCCCCAGTGTATGTCACATTCATATATTTGATATTCAGTACTCAACATACTCTACTATTTATCAGAAATTTTATTGAATTCAGAGGAAACTATGTACAGGTATTACCAAATGCACTTACAATGTATCTTACATTTTATCATGATTTTAATCTTGTACAAAATTACTATGCTATCATATTGATATGATATTTCTTAACTTCTCAAGTGACTTTAATCCAACGAATGTACTATATTTGCATTACTCGAACCAAGTCTCTGACTACCTAACAGGACTTTTGAACAGTGACTTATTGAGAGAAAAAATGTACATAGATTCTAACACAAGCAAAAGGAACTATGCCTTTTTGTATAAAGACGGAAAATGATAGTTCTGTACAGTATTACTATGTGCCTTTTGTACGATTCATGCCATGGAATATTATATATGTATGTATAACATATTTGTGCATGAATGTTCATATTGTCTACTTGTATGTTGATATCTCTTTAAATTGTTTTGATTGTGCTAATTTTTGTTTTGTTAATAAAGTAGACTTTTTGTAAGAATCATTTCAAGAAAAGAGACGTTCTGAACCAATGGTTGTCACACAAAGACAGTGTGTTTATTTTCAAGAACAGTCATGCTTGCAAAGATCATAATGGTCATTACATTTCTGAATTTTCCACACTGAAATTTTACAACTATTGTGAAGCTTAGAGTTTTCAGTCTCTAAATGACATTTTGGTGATCTTAAACTCAAATTGGACAGTATTTTATTCTTTTGAAAGCACATCTGTATTATGTGAAACTTGGCTGATATTAAAGTTTGTGGAGTTTCCATTTTGTACACATTATTGCTACCACATGCCCCCAAATATATACATATTCAACATCAAGTTACAAGGGAAAATTGTGTGCTTGCATAAAGATTTTGGCAAGTCCAAGATAGTTGGTCGTTTGATGTCCTGTACATTACCAAGTTTAATTGAATGATGAACACATATTAACATCACAATCATCATTTATTTTATATTTTGTCTCATCTAAGCTCCAGTAGGCCTGACGACTTCATACCTTCATCAAATTCTGTGATGTGGTTGATAACTTTTGGGACAAAATAGCTTGGAATTGTCCATTTATATGCTTACATGTAATACTTGAGATTGTGCAGGCTATGTAAAGCTCTTGAATGTTGAAGTTTATTTATGTAACTTTCTTGCCCTTTTAAGTAATTATAGAGTAGAAAGTAATGTGTATATTGGTGCTTTGTGTGCACTTGTAATTCTCTGCTCTCTGGTTGTCGATGCTGGAATGTATTCTTTCACTGCTTCGATGTATTTAATATCAGCAGAATTTTGTTACATCTTGATTTGCAATATCTCCATATAGTTATAATAATAAAAGTAGTCCTTGTAAGATTAGCAATGGCTTTTACAGAAATCATGTGATAAATGATTATTGACCAATACTCCTGTATGTAACTATTTATTGTTATATAATCCAGTAAATTTATCAAGATGTTTCAGAAACAACCTCCTTATGTTAATATTGTTGCTTGGAGCCACAATGGTGATAGTGGTTATCCATGATATCATATTTATTATAAACCATTGTTGTAATCCATTATAGCCTTATTTAACATGCTTTTCTACCTCACTAAACATTGGTTGAGACACTTGTTTTACTGAATATAATTTTGGAAGAAGGAAAGGATTTCAAATTATGGAAACCAATATGTCCTTTTACTAACCTTAAAGATATAAGAGAATTCAGTAGCAGTAGGTTTAGATATACAGGCGAGATATATTTAATTCTTGATTATCTGCAAATAAGCATTCAGGTCACAATGGCACAGGACATATCAGAAGTATATTCTGGTCTAGAGGTAATATTTTCATATTATCAAACGTGGATGTCGATTATTTTGCTGCTTCAAACAATTCAGTGTATTCCATTCTAAGTGAAGAGACAAGATACATTCATGTTTCTAAGGAAAGTAGGCGTGATTTAATTTTTATTTTCAACCAAAAATGATTAAAAATTGTGAACTAACGCCTTGCAGTTTTTGTCAAAAGTGGGTGCTTTCCGAAGTTCCAAGAAATTTGCCCTGAAGCCCCTTTTTAAACAAAGTAAGATATATAGACCCGATGGTAAAATTTTGATTTTTCAGATTTTCAGCCCAAAATGAATTTTTTTTAATTTTTATTAATCAAAGTTGCTCCATCACATTTTTTCAATAAAGTAGGGTCACAATAATCCGAAATTGATGAAATAAAATAGTCCCAATTGAATTTTTTTTCCCACCTGTACGATATAAAAGGAGAGGAATGGAATTTAGAGACCACCGATAGTCATATCCTAAACACTAAAAAATTACCTCACACTTTTATATATTATGCTTTCTCTCATGTAATTATTTTGTACTTGTTTTTATACTTCTGCTGAGGTAGATCTCATGTTTAATCTTGGAAGGAAGCTTTGAAAATATTTTTCATCCTGAAGCATTGTATATCATTATGAATTCAATGCAAGATCGTTATTATATCATTTCACCATAATTCAGACTTCTGCCTTGGAAGAAAAAAAATCAGATATGTTAATTTGAATCTACTGCCAAGCCGCAAGATTTTGAATATATAATATTTGGTAATGGAGAAATATATTTAACATCTATTTATCATGTGGGAATTGTGTAGAAGTTTGATAAATCTTTTTTTTTATAAGACAAAGTGTGTAATATATGTCTGTCTAATGATGCATTCAGTGCTTCTGTTTTTAATTTTGGCAATATGTATCTTTTCTCATGTGCAATCTTTATTGTTATGCATCTCAACAAAATAAAATAGAAACATGACAACAACAAAATGAATTTGAGACAGTTTTTATTGTGTCTGTAAGATATTTTTTAGGTCAATATTCAACATCATAATGGCTGCTTTTAAGACCACAATGATCTCACAAAGGAACGGGAATCAAATCGATGAAATAGCAATTAAAAGGATATAGAAATAAAAGACATTGATTAGGACGATAAGGAATAGGAGGACGAGGTAATAATGATGATGGACAGGAGGGCAGTTATAGGATAAAGAAAAAGATGGTAGTTGATGATTAAGATGATGATTAGGAGATGGGTGATCTTTGGGATGATGGCAACAAGGAAGAGGTTGTGATGAGGAGGGCAGTTGTCATGATGAAAATGATGAATAGAAGGAGGAGGAGGATGATTAGATGATGATGGGGAAGGAGGGTGATTGTGATTACGATGATATGAAAGAGGTGGTGGTCATCAGAGACCCGTTTCACAAAGCCTTTTTTTTTAATGACAAATCTGCTGATAACAAGATTCAAGTGATTTATCAAGACTCAAATTATTTTATTTCTCATGCAAAACATAACACAGTGCATTAAGCATATTACAACAAAATGTACAATCATCAAGACAAATATAATATTAATGGCACGATAAAAGAGGAACTAACTAGAAGCAGAGCTTGTTGAAGTACTAGTTCGTCGGGGGTTGTTTTTACAATAATCAATCAGAAGCAAGGATTTCACTAGATTATAACAAAATCTATAATTTGTCACTAATGACAAGTTTTGTGAAATGGGGGCCCTGGGGGTGACAAAGGGCATTTGTTAGTAGGGGGAATTGGGCACGTTTAACAAAGTATAAGAGGCACTTATCAGAAGGGGAAAGACATTTATTAGAAAGGAGAAGGAGCACATATCAAAAAATAAGGGGCACCTATCAGAAATGAAAGTGGGTATTTCTCACACTTGAAAAGGGGCACTTATAAGATGGGCAAAGAAAAACTTATAAGAGCAAAGGGACACTTAAAGAAAGTAAAAATATCTATTTTCTTAAGTAGGCCTAAAGGGGGCACTTTGGGTGTACTTGAAAAAGTGGGTGCAGATATTTATGCAAATAACATTTTAGATATAAGCTCTAATTATTCACATTCTCAAGAAACATAAAAAATGCAGAACGTTGTAAGGGTTTGACAAATTTCGTTGATAATTGTTTTTACCGGTAGTGTATTTAAACCAGATAAAATATTAGTACTAACAAACTCCATATGTGTGCATTGTGCATTGAATTTCCAGAGTTCCTGTCATTATGTTCGCCACCAATATGACCTAATCCATGATTGTCTGAAACCACTGGCGCCATTGGTATCGACTCTGTGGTCGTAGATGGGACAGTTTGAATGACGTCAGTGAAATCTGTGTTGCCGTTTTGAGGTAGTGTGTTTGCTGCCACTGATTGTGTTGTTCCTACCATTGTTCCTGTTTCGGTGAATGTTGCTGATGATGTTTCAGTTTCTCCTCTCTCTGCTAAAGTTGGAGTTAATGAGTTGAGAGGAGGTGACCATGATGATGATGGTGATGATGGTGATGATGGGAATGGTGGCGACGATGGTGGTGATGGTGATGGTGTCGACGATTTTGTTTCTGAGAATGGTGGTGATGATGATTGCAAGTATGCAGGTGGTAGTGATGATGGCAGTGATGAGGAAGATGATGACGGAGGTAAAGATGATGATGATAATGATGATGATGAAGACGATCTTGGTGGTGACGACGGTGCTGATGACGATGGTGATGACGATGGTGATGACGATGGTGATGATGATTCTAGAGAAGCACTTGTTTTTTCTGATACTGTTATAACTGTTATTAAAGACTTTGTGATGACAGGAGAAGTTGTATCGGACCTGGTACATGTTGTAGGTGATATGGACAATCTTAATCCAGATGTTGTTGACTTCATTGTCGTCGAAGTTGCTAAAGAAGAGGCAGGATTTGTTGAAATGATAGAATTTGTTCGTGATGAGGGCGATGTTGACGGACTAGAGGTTAGCACTGCTGATGTTGATATTGTCGTTGCTTTAGTGTCCGAGTTTGTGTTGGCAAGAGTTGTCCTTAAATCGTTAGAGCTTGCACGTATTATTGTAGCCGATTCTAACAAATCGGGGCTTTGAGTTGATTTAGTTGATAAAGTTCCCAAGTTTGTGATGATCAGTGTTGTCGCTGAAGTTAAAGATACTGTCGGTGTTGATGACGATGTTGGCACCTCAAGGTCTGTCGTTTCCATTCGGGAAACCACGGTGGTAGAAGGTATTTCTCCTTCGGTGGGGTGGGGAGTGCTTATTATTTCTGTAACCTGACTTGGTCCCGATAGCGAGCTGCTCGTTTCAATATTTGGACACCTTTGGTCTCTTACGTCTTCTGGAAGATCATTGGGTGTTCCTAATTAGAAACAAACAAGGGTGAGAAAAAAAAGTAATTACCAAAAAATACATTCGGTTTTAATCAATTAACAACCATCCTCACCAAAAATCCCAAGAACCATAATAGCAACAACCAGAAGCTTCAGTGGAATAGTTTTCTATTTTAAGAAACACACTCTTCAATCATCACGTGATATAGTGACCTCAATGACACCTCAATGGACCTTTTTTTTTACCCATCCCTTTGAATCAAAAGATATTCTCATGGGTTTTTTCTTGAAGCAAATCTTCTGTGATGCAAAAACAAAGAAACTAATCATCATCATGCCAAGCATTATATTGTGGTAGGACGAAACAAATTAGAAGTCGGGACTCTATGGATGAAGGGGCACAGGGTGCTCAAACACACCCCCCTCAACTTTTAATACAAGGATTGAAACTGATGCTTTGGACCTCATGCCATTTTGGGCATGTTAAAGACTTAATGAGCCCACATCCTATTAAACTTCCTGCCATGTGAACATTTTGAAAATTATTGGCATTAATTTTGACATACAAAAAGAAATAATTTGTAATAAAAATGATTAATGGCAACATTATATTACTTTGTTCTTAATTGTATAAAAAGATTTCAAATAAAACATTATCTTACCATACAGCAGCTGTATTCCCTGAATGTCATCATCCTGGAGCTCAACTTTAGGACGGAATTGATAGAATGGATACATGATAGAGCCCTCTACGCCGGAGTGCGTCAAACCCAGAGCATGCCCGATCTCATGGACAACGACTTGCACATAGTCGATCCCTGCAAAAGCGATTATCAACAATCAAATTTAAACATTATATTTCGAACGAATATAAGTTCAATTACTGTTGCTAGAATTTTCTTCGTCATAAATCCGTCCAAACCCCGTTTAAAACAGTCGTACAGATAGAGCTAGTGTTATCGGTTTGACTGGGTAATGATGCCACTGATATGTGGCCGACTGGGCCTTACCTTTGAAAAGAAGACTTGATGTACCCCGCCGTATAAGCATCATTTTCCTGTGCCTCGATCAAGAAGATTTTGAATCATTGGTTTTCTAATTTATTGATTTCTAATCTCATTCTTACGATGTCCTTCAAAATTCGGGTTTTATTAGATAAGTTGTGGCTTCCAGACGATATTTCGCTGTCTATTTATTGATTGTTTTAATTTTTGTCCAAAAATGTTAATACGGTATACCTAAGGTAGGTAAAATATATCTGTTTCCATCTTGTTCCTAGTATTAAAACAAAGTATTAAAGTTATGAATAATTATAAAATTGTAAAACACAAATAGAAATTGTCATTGTTTCTTAGAAACATAAACAATATCTCAAATCAAGGGGTCGGTCCAGGACTATCCGAAGAGACTTTTTTCTTATTTTGTTCATAATAAGTCAAGGACAAAATATATTTGTGTATAGACAAAACTTGATACAACTTACCATCAGCTATTCCCACTGTCCAATTTTCGGCGGCATCGAAATGGATCTCGCCGTGTGTCGGTAGGAAGGCGTGACCGAGGATGCCGCCTGGCCCATCGAAAGAGATACCATCACCGTGCTCGCCCAAGACATGACGAATATGAATGTCGGCATCGATGTTCTGGTCGACCACCTCGCACAATATTAATGATGTGACGTCCATCCACATCTGTAGAAATGAGTGATAATGATATTGACGAATGATGATGATGATGATGATAATAATAATAATAATAATGGTGGCCTCTTATATAGCGCACATGTCCGTCACGTTGTGACGCTCCTGGCGCTGCCCCGATTATTACCCTGGCTTACCCTGGCACTGTGGCGCTCTAGCATTTCAGGAATTAATTCCTGCCAGGTACCCATTTACATCACCTGGGTTGAGTGTGGCAAATGTAGATCAATGTCTTGCCACCCCAAGACATCTACAAATTATTAATATTAACAGTCTTTGGACAATCTGCCCTATGATGCTGAACGTATTAGAAGAATAACCTCCTACCAGGTATAGAGCCATTTTCTACATACACCTAAAGACACTTATAACCGCGGCTAGAAGTCGAACCACGGGTGTAGGGGTGTGACGTTTGTTTTGATACGCATGGTCCGGGTCCGAAAAGTTTCAAAAGCTCATCAATATTGATGACGAATATTTTACCAAAGGAGACGAAAATTAGCCGAAAAGGGGTATTCAGAGCCCAAATATAATAATAATAATAATAGTGAACATTTATTATGCGCTATGTTTTTCAAAAATGACACTCCTGGCACAGCTTTGTGGAAATTGTATAATTGTGGGCATGCGACCATCAAGTAATTCAAGAAAGAAAGTAAAATACACATAAGTTAGAGTTTCAATATACAGGTTTGATGACAAAATTTGCGAATAATTATATCAATAGAGGAGGTGTATCCCTCACTCGGAAGACTTGACAAACCTGCATTGCATCTCGAACGACATCACCGATGACTTGACGACCCAAAGGCATGTTATCGTGAAGTTCGACAATACGATAGGTCAAGTTGAGGTCATACCACCGGAACCAGCCAAGCGAGAAAGACAGTACATCCGGTATGCCACATCGAGGTAGAAGCGAGAGTTCTTGTACCCGGTCATCAGCTATCCCTAGAAAAAAGAAAGAGGAAAATGTGTAGAGAAGAGTAGGTGCGGCGCAAGATGATTTTGTCATGGGCACAGGCCGTCAAAATATTTGAAAAGGAACAGTATTATAATTTCCAAAGTGAGAGGCATTATGCAATTTGCGATTTAGAAATATCTTATTATTATTATTATTATTATTATTATTATGACGGGCCAAAAAATGGTGCATGGCAAATGATAATGAACACCCCCGATCGATCAGATCAGTTTTTCCCAATTTATGTCATTAATAATGGTCCGTTTTCAATAAAACTTTCAGATTCTCTTTAATTGTACATCTAGCATTGAAGTCACTACCTTAGCACCACTTTCTCTCATCTGAACAATGTTACCAAGTCCCTTTAAGAAGACAATTGCTTTCTTTTCATTCAATCACACGATTCGAAGCAATGTGCATTAGGGTAATCTACAGAGCAAGAAAGTGCAATCAGGGAAAAGGGCATGACAAAGTATCAGAATCTAACATATTTCACAGGTTGATTCGTATTGCATCCGTTTTCACATCTTTGAGAGGGATGTGCAGGCACTGTGTGCAGGGATGGAAGAATATGCTAGAGTTGTTTGGTTGGGGGAAGAAAACAACGTCTGATGACGTCACAATTGAAATCGCTTGTGGAAGGAATTTCGACATACAGTTAACTGAATTATCCATACCCTAACTTCATAATCATTTTTATTTTTCCATTTATATCTATATTTTGACGGTAAAAACATATGCAAAAGTTTAAAATTAAATTGTTTGATTCTGTTATCTTGTATAGCATTGAACTTAAACATTAATACCGGATTCCAATTAAAATCGGAGAGCAGTACTAATCGTTGCTGCCAAGCATTGTATCAAAAGACTCTTGTTTTTTCTGCACAAAGAATAAGTAGAAGTGTTTAGCCTTCATATTAAAAATATTATTTATCATCAACAGTTGATATTTGTATAACATTAGAGTGATGTGTTTGCTTCAAACTATTACGTAATTGATGAACCCACAATTTTGGAAAGGCTTTCTGCACCTTTGAAATTTGCAAGAAAACAGTTTTGGAAACTTATATGTCTGACACATGAAATCCACATCATTCCATTGTCCTTGACTAAAAATGTGTTTTACATTAAAAATCCCAACTATTTACATATCTCAATTCTGACCAAGTACAAAGTAAATCAAAGTAAAAATGAGGTATCCTAGACATTCGACATAGTTTATCTATGTCTCTGTTATTACAAGTAAACGGAAACACCAATGGAATTCCACCTCCCCTATTTAACCACTAGGAACTTTTCCAAGATAGCTTTCTCAGCGTCAAAAAATATCCTTATCCAAGAAAGTCTAAAAGAACCGACTTCTGTCTGTAAATCAACCATACCTAAACCCCTTCAGTTATTTTAATTAAACATACATTTCTTATTATTTTCTCTTTCTTATAGACCCCGTGCATCTTTGTTTAACAACAGAATGCGGTTACCGTACTGGAATAGCAGTCGCAACATAATTAATTTGCTACACAACTACAAGCTTTAATATCACAATTTTACCGTAATTATGTTTAATTACGCGTTTTCCACTTATCCAAGATTTCTTTAATTTTTCCGTCCCAATTCAAAGCCTCAATTTTTTCTTTATTTTTACCTACATATCCCCAGATTTTAGATTATAGTACCATTGAAACATCACGGTATATGCTAGAGGGTAAAACGATAATTGTGTTTTGCAAAATTGTAACACGTTTGATATATCATTTGTTTAGATGAGATATCAACATAAAGGAGAAGACTTAAGTAATTGGATATGATATAGGCAAGCTAGACAATATTACCCGACAAAGACCCTTATTTAACCAGTCCATCTTTCATCCGTGAGTTATGATAAAAACAAAAGCTTCAAATTTGCAAGGGGTATGACTAATTTAGTGTTAGCTGTATATACTGTGATGAGTAACCTTCATTTGTTCAAAAAAGCCCCGAATGAGGATGAAAAAATCGTTGGAAATTCGTGCGTTACTACGATTTTGAGACGATCTGGATTTTCTCCGAATGTGTACAGTACTATTCAAGACCTCGGAATTTCGATAGTGTTGTATAAACGGGCAGAAAATTCTCGTACTCAGTAAGAAATTCGAATTCTTTTAAAAATAATCCTACTGAAACATCTTCCCAAATCGAGTCGTAGTCTCGTCATAAGGTGTACAGTGCACTTGTTTACATATACTTACCGGTTACAGGTAGCTTGAAGAATTCTTGAAATTTCAAAATGGCGCCGGTAAGATTTGCTTCTGCTGTATCTGGACCACTTTGACCGGGCAATGTTTGGGGCAGAAAACCATAGTCCTCAAGATATTTCTAGGTATGAGAAGGTAGTAATTGTATTATAATGTGTATTAATTCTTGTATGCCTTTTATGCCTCTCTCTCTCTCTCTCTCTCTCCCCCTTACACACTCTTTACCTATTTAAAACGTATACAAATGATAAAGAAGCAACATTTTGAATGTATTTATAAAGATATAAACTTGTTTTCTACACCGCTGGACAAATTTGCGAACTCAGTTTGTTTCGATCTAGTATAGCTTTTTTACCTCTCTCTTTCTCTTCGTTCTCCGTTTGCTTTGAGATAAAGGATGCCCGTGCAACCCTACCACCCTCCACGGGCCCTAATTAATGAGGACATACATAGTACGTTCACAGGATAATACTGTAATAATATGGATAAATATAAAACGTAGAAAACATACCGTAAACTCATCATTATTCGAAGGCGAATCCTCCTCTGTCATCCCATCTTCTATATCTTCGTCATCCCTCGAATACGAGTCAGTGGCGTCGGATCCGTGTCCCTCACTTAGAGAATCCCAATGTATCGGCGTCGCCATCAAACACGTCACACCCAACACGAGTAAATATAACGTTGTTAGAGTCACCATGTTGGCAAGAGCGATTCTATTCTTTAAGATTAGGCCTAGTCGTTTCTTCTTTCTCCCTTCTGCTGTCACACGTTCCTGTTTCCTCCTTTTACGGAAGAAAAAAACCTTCTACTATTCAACGAATAACGAAATGTTCGCCGAAACAACTAGATACAGCACATTTAAGTAAGTAACGTAACAAATCTTAAACGTATGATAATGGGTATTACTGAAACCGGAGTCGACTAAAAAAAGTCTGGCGAACTATCGAAGACAGAGAGCAAAAGTGTAGCCAGTATCGAGGGGATCAAAATTACAGTCAGATTCCAAAACTTAATTTAGAACACGCGAAACTTAAGGGTTTCTTTAATTGGGCCAAGAGTTTAGAGTTTGTTTTTTTGTTGCCCTGGTAATATCGATCGAGATGCTCTTGAGATATTGTAGCCAAACTTCAATGAATATCACAAGCTTTGCATAGCTATTACATAAAATTATCCAATCATTGACTTTCATAATGGTTTGAACATCCTGTTATGTTTTTTTTCTCTCAAAACACCACCATCCTTCTCTCCCTTTCTCCTTCTGGTTGGTTCACTTCTTTTGTTACGTCATAGAGTCACAACATCCGGGTCGATTCTTGACTGATTTAAGATTTTCTGTCATGAAAGCACTGTCTGGGCACTTTCCTCTACAATAGACACAATGCATTGATTGTGCAAATATTCGGATGGGCCAATTTTATGCATGAACATATGAATACTTGCGATTGATCCGAGACGATCGCCTAATTCCTCCAATTAATAGCTTAATCCACATAATAGATTTAACATGTTGAATTAAGATGGACAACTCTTAATAGACTGTGTTTGGGCTCAGGTGGTATTTAGATAACATCCGGGAACTCTAATCGTCTCCATATTGTCTGGTGATATAGGTGTTAGGTCCTGGTTTAAGACAATTGTAGTAGAAGATGACCAATGGAGAAAAAGGAGTATAAACCAGGGCGAGATACCTAACGGGCAATAACAGATCAAGTCGAGAGAGGAAGGCTAGAATCACAATCAGTTTGATCAAAGAATTTGGAAAATCGAGTACGATTTTGCATTTAGTTAGAGGTGCCCTAATTCCTAGAGTTTGGCTCACCTTCAACAAATATTTCTTACAACTTTGTAGAGGCAGTATTAGGAATCTGATATTTAAATCAGTGATTGTGAAAGTAATTATTAGTACGATTCGCTATATTTTCAGCTGACGAGTTAGATCATGGGTGTCCGCAAACTTTGTGTAATCATCTTACTATTCTTCCTGAATACGTGCACACCTTTTCCCGCTAGCCGCTTACACCGAGGCGCCCGATCAATCAACGACTGGATGGGCAAAGACTCGACAACGACAGGGTCGTCGACAGTGGCAATGAATTCACGAGAGGAGACCTTTGAGGCAAATGAAGATGACAGGTTACAAGTCCAGGTGAGTTTATAATAATTTCCTAATAGTTTCTCACCAATCAACTGTCTGATGTCGAGGTTGTGTGGTTACAGCCCTTCCCGATATTTAGACATCGATTATTGTTCATCTCATATTCAGATGTGGTCTTGTGGTATTTTATGTTTTGCCTAACATAAATTATTCTGCAATGAAATTAATCAAATAACATTAAGAGATAAGATAAAATATGCTTCATCGTTGACTGCATGCTGATATATAGAGAATAATCTCTAAACTAATTTCTCTCTCTCGGTCATACTCTCGTTCATACTCTCTCTGTTGTCACTGCTTCGTTGTATTATTATTTTTACAGTACTATTTTGCTTTTTTAATCGCCCATTTTTCATCCCTTCGGCCGATTCGTCATATTTGAATTTTTAAAATATATGACGTTATTCTGATAAAGCTGTGTACTATCGAACAATAATTTTGTAGAAGTGCCTTAGCCGAGTGGTTTATTACTAGACTAGGAATGAGGTGGTCGTGGGCTCAAACCAGGGATATGTGAGTTAAACCCATTTATATACATGTACATTGCTACTATCAAACCACGTGTTAAAGGTGACTAGCTGGAATGCTCCCCAGGAAGTGAATAGTGTACACTGTAGTGTAGCCTAACTACCAAATGCATTTAACCATTTCTTTTTTATGTACATAACAATGCGCGGGAAGCATGGAGGGGAAAGGTTGAACCCTAACAGTACTATATAACCCCTATTATAGTTATCATCATAACCGGACATATCAATTTACATTTCGACTTTGCTTTCTTGTTAAAGGAATATCTCGAGAGGAATGGCTACCTGCCGATTGCACAGGTATTTGGTACTAGATATCGAATAAGCGATGATAATTTCAGAAATGCGCTTCAGTCATTCCAAAGGTTCGTGCATCTACCAGACACAGGTAAGCTCGCAAGTACAGATCATTATCTTCCAAAATGCAGCCATTAATGTTCGTGTCCTAGTCTTTATATTATACACAGCTGCGTAGGCAATCTGGTATGGTAAAGGCATGTGCCACTAAAAAATGTCGATGCCTCCACACGAAGAATTTGAAGGATAAAAACATGTTATAACTTGTTATCTCTCTCTCTCTCTCTCTCTCTCTCTCTCTCTCTCTCTTGCAGAATATATAAGAATATAGTTGTTAAAATGTAAAAATAAGTAAGATCAATACCACGGCTTGACCACTATCTATCCATAGTCTCGCGTTCTGTTGAGGAAAATCGTCAACAAATACCCAACAAAGTTAACACACATTGTTCGAGGCTACAAATGAAGAAGATGTGCCAAAACAAATCAAATTTGACAGTGAATAAAAAATACCCTGGACAGTAAATATTTTGATGGTCAAATTAATTAAAGGCACACTGTCCTACTTGTAGCTACTTGCTCCCTCTATATAGAAAATTTCCCCAATCGGTGCCTGTTGGTCCCCATGATCCTCTTTTTCTTATGTTAAATGAGAGCTGAGTTAATGAGATAGCCACCTGTCACAGTGACCTCACTGGGTGGTCTAATCCCTTCTAGCTAAAGTAGTAAAACCTGCCTTTAATGTAACGATTAGCATTTGATTTGCTCCCTGTTTCATATTGCTTACAGGCGTATTGGATGAAGAGACGTTTCGTCTCACAGTCTCAAAGCGCTGTGGAGTACCTGACCTGGTGGGTCCAGCACAGCCGTCGGGTCTGTACACAAGCTGGGCGCAATGGCACAAACTAGACCTGACCTACCGGATCGTGAGTCACCTGGAAACCATCGCGGAGGGCGCCCTTCGTGCTACCGTCAGGTCTGCCATGGAGGTAAGTGCCCCTATTTAGGACTCACAGGACTATCTAGATAGTGGCCCAGATCTCGTGGTCCTTCTGACAAATTTGTCTGGGAGTTACCAGGAGTTTGGTCATTCCTTTTAACTACTTTCCACCTTATCAGGAGAATTACCCACTAGACAATCAACCCGAGGAAAGTTATCCCCGTGGACAATTGCCAAAAGACAGTATAACATGTGCAACTCTCCCCCCCCCCCCCAAACACACTGGGGTAATTGTCCTAGGGGGTAATTTTCTGGGGGTGATTGTCCTTGGGGGGGGGGGTTCCGGGGGGTAAATTTACAGGGGGTAATTTTCCCGCTGGTAATTAGCCAGGGGTAGTTGTCCTGGAACCCTTTGCCACCATACAGTTTTGTATAATTAGCTATATTTCTGAGCAAAGGGAGGGAGTGGCTTAAGCCCCTAAACTCTAAATTCTTTGATGTTTTATTGCATCTGAATACGTATATTGACCAGGAAACCTGCGACTTAATTTTGTTTTAATCAATGTCGAATATGCTTCGTAATGAGGATTAATGCTCAAATGTCAATAGTGTAAGGAATACGGACTCGGCTTCGAACCAGGAACCTTACGAGACGACTGCTCTACCACTGAGCCACAGGCCTCATGTTACCTCTAACAAACACATGTCTCCTGAACATCACATGTACTTTTTGTTCTTAATTACGCTTATAACGCTTAGAGGTGACGTGGTTTAGTGGATACGTCACCGGGTTGTGGATCAAGTGATCCGCGGTTCGATTCTCGCCACTGCTCTATTGTCCTTTGGCAAGACATTAATCTACATTTACCGCACACGACCAGGTACCTGGCAGGAACTAATTTCTTGAAATGATAAAGACGGGGTAATAACTGTGGAGCCCCAGAAGTGTCAAGTCTAACAGACAGTGGCGTACGTAGGATTTTTTTAAAGGGGGGGGGGGGTTAAAATAAAAAAGGGGGGGGGTTCCAAAAAAACATACATCAAACATACACATAAAAAAAAACTCGATGGGGGGGGGGGGGTAAGGGGGTTAACCCCAAAACCACCCCCTGTGTACGCGCCTGCTAACAGATATGATCGCTATACAAGAACCCATTATGGATATTGTTATGTTTAATTTTACGACCATGTCAAAAACAAAACAAAACTAATTCGGTGTGAAAAATATGTACTACAAAATTGTGTGCGCCAGAGAAATTCCTATAATCAAGTGCATGTGACATTGAGGGGACGTGATTTTTTTTATCAATAAGATTTTATCGTTGAAATTCATTTTGATATACGCAGATATGGATGGAGGTTACCCCACTATCTCTGTGTGAGGAGCTCGACCCCGAGGCCGATGTCGACATCATTATACGACATGAGCGAGGCGAGCACGGGGACGGTGTGGCGTTCGATGGCCTCGATGGAGCCCTCGGTCACGCATTCCTACCTGCCACAGGCGAGATCCATCTCGATCTAGATGAACAATGGACGGTAGGACGAGTGCCTGAAAATAACGGTAAGCCGAGAAGTCGACAGTAGATTTATCCGAGAAAATGTCTAATATAATCGTAAGATTTTCGTAAAGGAACGCTTTTAGGGGTGCAGTATTAACTAGAAAGGGTGCGCTATTGGGCTCAAGTTTTACCAATATAAAATTGTAAGACGTATATTTCTTTTATTGCTATAATTCTGTTTCTGGACCGACACCAGTACATTCTATCAGGAAACCGGCATGAGTAGAAGTTCTCTTGTATCCCGATGAAACTATGTAATACAAATAACACGGGTTTTAGTGACTTATTACTATTCCGCAAAACGCTGTCGAGATCAACAATCCAACGAGAAAAAAATATTATCATTGCTCCAAATAGCAAGGATATCGGTCGGTTTGATCGTGATTATTGGGTTGGGGGGGGGGGGGGGGTCATATCCAATGTCGTCATCTCCATGAAGAATGAAAAAGCTGAAAAGCTATTAATATGTTAATAGTTTCTTAGTAATGACTTATCACATTAACCAATGACCTTCTGTATTCCATTTTTGCAAACAGTAATGCGAAAACGAACATTAGAATTCATAACGTATGATTAAAAAACATAAAAGAAAATAACACGAAATACAAACATATTAAATCAAATTATTGTCATTGTTGTTGAAATGATTGAATTACTGCAGACGACGAATCATTAATCTTATGACTTTGATTTTGGTTTATTTCACACCTACCAGGGACGGACTATATGAGTGTCGTATCTCACCAAATTGGACATGCTCTCGGTTTGCTGCATTCGGGCGTAGAGGGCTCTATCATGTTTCCCATCTACACCGACAAAGAAAATATAAATCTTTCTTACCAGGATGTGCTGTCCATACAGTCATTATACGGTAAGTTAGAAGAAAGGGATTTTTTTAAAAATATACTGATTATTAGCAAGAAAGACAACAACAAAAAATGAATGCAAGCGTTTAAGCAAATACTGTAAAAGGAGAATTAGAAAACGTTCTTTGTCGAAATACCGCTGAACATTATTAGTGGTGTGCAGGCATTCACAAAATATCCATCTGGATAAATAATAAAAGCAAAACCATAGGTCAAAATTATTTTCCATCGGATATTTGTAGACACTTGATAGTTCCTCAGAATGTGTTCACGTGAAACAAAAGAACACGGGAGAGTCAAATACATGGATAACACTCATCTATAGATAGATGGAGACGACGAGAGAGATAGAGAGAGGGAGAGAAAGTCAGAGGGAGAGAGAAAGAGAGGGAGAGAGAGGGAGGGGGAGGGAAAGAGAGAGAGAGAGAGAGAGAGAGAGAGAGAGGATAAAACAGCCTTTCGTTATTGTAAAGCACAGTGGAATAATCTTTAGCATATATATCTATTATGAAATTACCCTATAGTTGTCATAATGTTTTTATTTCATTTCTTTTATTCTAAAAAGGAAACGCTGATGACAGCGCAGACGTTCAACATCGATGTAGAGATCGAACGACAACATCGAAAACATTGACATCAGCTTCGGTTAGTTAGCTGGAGACAATGGCGAGTTGGTCATTATCGCCATCTACGACAGAATCGTCGTGATTGTTTTAAAATGGACATTACCAACACCACCTTGATGCGATCCGCATGGGCATACTTATTAGTTTCGTTATCATCTTCTATCTCCTCCTCCTCCTAATCCTCATCGTCATCAGAAAATATACCACCAATAATCAAAATAAATATATATGCCGTCATAGTAGTCGTCATCATCATAAATAGTCATCTCGAGATTAATATTGTCAACATCATCATCGTCATCATTGATATCGCCAACTTATATAAATCATCATCACCATCTTAGTCATCATCATTGATACCACCACCATTATCATCATCACCATCATAGTCATCATCATTGATACCACCACCATTATCATCATAATAATTTTATTGGTCTCTATTATCGTCCATCATTATTAACATCAATGTCATTTCCAGCATCACATTATTACCATTAGTACTATTGCCATCATCATCACCATTATCATCACCAGCAAAGTCATCATCAATCTTATTCATCAAAGAAAACGACAGTACAGGGCCCCATTTCACAAAACTTTTAATCAGTGACAAAATAGTGACAGTTTTTGTTATAAGCTACTGAAATTTTTGCTTTTGATTGGTTATCAGCTGATTTGTCACTGGTTTTTGTCATTTGTCATTGAAAAAAGGCTTTGTGAAACGGGTCCAAGATTCAGTTTTCACCATCGATAGAGGTTTCTTTCCATGTTGTTAAGAGCACAAATTTCTGTTAAAAAAGAAATGTCGATATCTCAGATGTAATACTATCCGTTTGAAAACCCTTCACTTCCAGGTTACTTTTATAAAAATAGATCCCTTTTTTTAATGAATATTCTTCTCTACCTTATTTGTGTACATTGTGATCATCTATGTCAATTAAATTATTATTAAATCATGATACTTAACATATTCGCTCTAGTCATTCATTGTTTGCATCCCATTCAACGTCTCCCTTTGAACAGTCGGGGAGGTTACTGGCCAAACTACATTATCGAGACAAAGATTGAGAGAGGGGGTGAGGGGAGAAGGCGGGGTTAGAGATAATGAGAGAGAGAGAGAGAGGGAGAGAGAGAGGGGTTGAGGGCAGGGTTAGAGATAACGAGAGAGAGAGAGAGAGAGAGAGAGAGAGAGAGAAGGAGAGTGAGGGAGAGGGTGAGGGCAGGGTTAGAGAGAGAGATAGAGACGGTAGAGAGAGGTTGAATTTTGAATGGAAAGAGAGCGTAAAGAAAAGGGAAATGTGTTGAAATTGGGAGGGAGAGAGGAAGAGAAGCAGAGGGGTGAAGGAGGAGGAGGAGGGAGAAACACAATGGAACGGAGATGGGAGAGGAGGGAGAGGGAAAGAAAGAAAGGTTGCGTGGAGAACGGGAGAAAATTGGTGAAAGTGGGAGGAAGAGAGAAAGAGGAGGGGAGAAACAAATTACATGGAGATGAGGGATAGAGACAAAGATAATGGAGGGGAAGGAGGAGGTTCGAAAGAGAGGGGACTTGCAGAAGTGGAAAGAGAGCATGGGGAAAGAGGGAATTATGGTGAAAGTGTAGAGGGATACTTGACAAGGAAGACGAAGGAGAAGAGAAGAACAAAAAAAAATGGAGTTGGAAAGGAAGAGAGACCGAGTGACAGAGAAATTGTATAGTTACAAAAATCATGACGAAGAGGTAAAAGCCAAGGTTTGAAAAATGCAGCACAAAACACAAAAATAAATCAATGACAAAATTATAAAGGAATTAAAAGGAACACACTAGAAATATATTGATATAAATCATTGGGTCTAAGGCTATGCATGATCAAGATGCATTTAGGCTATCACTGAAGGACCGAGTACGGTACAGAGAATAATACATTTCATACGGCGTATCCTTCGTTTCACGTAAAACAGTATCAATATCTTTCTTTTCATGCCTTATCGAGCTTCGGTATTAGCGTCACGCAGATACAAACATTATATTTCGGCTCAAAATTGGCTGAGTAATTTTGAACAAAATGGGCGCAGCTTCGGGTTAATATAACGGTATTTAAAAGTTAGAGCCCGTCGTTTGCAACCAGTTGCTTGCTTTTCAGCAAAGATAAACTTGCTGGAATAGGATCACGATCTTTTATCTTTAACAAGCTCCCAATGTCACGGCCATAGAAGTTGATATAAGCTTTCACACTCAGCCACGCGCACCTAACATGGGTATTCAGACCACCAGCCGTCCGCCGGCCGGCTGCGGCGAATTACCCTAACAAAAACGGAGACGGCACGCGAAGGCAGTCGCGCGAGCTCCACCCGTACGCGTGGGCCCGTCGAAGGCCTATTGATAAACGGTGGCCCTGCGGTCGAGCGCGCGCCTCGGGAAACAGAAAGAATGCGAGACGCGTGCGTAGGTCGAAATAAGGCAAACAAAGTCAATATATTGGTATTGTTGGGCATTGGGAGGGGTTACCGATATACCCATGGGGCTAGAATAGGAACAATGCTAGTTTAGGAGTATGAAACCGTGCGTGCCATTATACATTGTTTAAGACACGTCTTTCCCTTCTTTTCCTCCATTCGTCAACTTTGGACATTTGAAATTTGTTCCCGCTTCTTTTCTCTTATTTTCAACACCCGTAATATTTATTTCAAAAATAAATATAGGTTTACGTGGCTTTCAATGGCAGAATTACTTGCTCATATTTGTTTACAAACAAACCTCAAGAAAACCTAACTGTATATAATTATGATAAAACGCCTCTCCTTTCCTGCACAATAGATTAGGAAAAATATGTTTTATAAACAAATTGCCATCCAAGATGATAATGCAACTAAAACGAACCTAATCAATCATGTAAATAAATTAAATATCCTTTTTTGAGTGCACACTAACTAACGATGAAATAATTCGAAACTTTTTCCTTTTTTTAACGGAGATCGTATACATTATCAAATCCCGGGGGGGGGGGGGGGCGGAGAAATAATTATTCAAGACGTCCGTTAATCGTAACATGAGTTTAAAAAACACCCGAAATAATAGAATATATGTCCACAATTAACATTGTTATTGTAATCAAAGGTACTATTTAAACATTTAAAATACATAGTGAATAAAAACCTTAATTAGTGTGTGTGTGTTTACACTGTTGGTGTTGTTTAATTTAGGCAAGTCAATCAGTTTATGATTATTATTGCCGAATACAATAACAAATAACAATTTTGTTTTTAATTCAAATTTACGTATATTATACCCTCACTATGTCAATACTGTAAATATTAATCGGCCTATGTTCCATTTATAATAATAATAATAATAATAATAATAGCCTAATAGTCCACTCCAAATTTTATTAAACCGAAACGGAAATTCGTTTTGCCCAATTGATCGTGAGCCCGGCAGCCACTGAGCAGCGCCAGATCGACGTTGCTCTATCCCTTATTGTTGAACGCCAAACAAGGTAGCAACAACTCCCATCTTTTAACGTCTTTTGGTATGACGCGGCCGGGGTTCGAACCCACGACCTCCCGGTTGTGTGGCGGACGCTCTACTGACTGAGCCAACACTCCGGTACACAATTATTGAGTGCTATTTGTTTTCTTTTCAACAGTTGAGACTTGATACATTCACGAAGCCTCTTTACCTGTTCTCTTTGTGTGCGTTTGGATTTCTTTTTGTTTTGTTCCATTCATATTCAAAATTCAAAATTCAAATATCCACGGATTCTGAACATTTGGTTTTAGGTTTCAAATGAACAATAATCAGCCAAACACAATAGTTGTGTGTATATGATTGTGTTTAATTTGTGTTCTAAATTTATATAACTAGGCGATATATTTTATTTATATTCAATTGAAGTGATTCGTTTGATGGTCAACTCTTATAGAATGAAGGTAAGCTATAGAAGATTTCTTCAGCCCTCTCTATCTGCCCATTATTGACATTAGATTGAATATACTTGATATTTCCTTAATGAATAATGATTTGAATAATACAGATGCAATATTACTTTCAAAATCGATATTTCCCTTCTTGGACAAAAATAATTCATCTGTTACACGCCTGTATCATGTAAAACATTTCCCCATGAAAGTATAGTCTAATTTTGTACATGAACCTAATTACTTTCTTAAAATACTTTTTTGAAATCACTTAAGAGTGTTTAATTAATCTTCGTCTCGCATGTCTGCCCCCCCCCCGGCTTATGAAATTTATGAACGAGCGAAAATAGCCCCCCCCCCCCCGTTTTTCCCCCTCTCTCTCTCTCTCTCTCTCTCAGTCCCACTCTCTATCTTTGTATCCCAAATAACCAGTTGATATACCAAGAAGCAGGTGCCTCGAATATTTCTCTAGAATAGGTCTCAAAATGAATTTGGAGCTAATTTACAGCTGCATCGACGAATAACGCCAAATTAATCCAGAGGGGTAGACGAAAACGCAAAACCGAGAAGAAGAAAAAAGGTAATTTTGTGTCCCGTTTCCTCGACTGGGCATCCCGCTTGATAGGAACGTGAGATATCTGCATAAAATACCAACTCTGCCGCGACCCTCTTCCAAAATGGGACTTTCAGTAAGCTTTGTAAGTATTATTACATCGAAGAATGAAATGGAGGTTGGCAAAATATGAGGGGGGTTTAAGGGTAGCAATATCATTGGCATCCGTAGAAAACAATCTTCGGAGTTAATTTTTTTTTCTCGCATGAGCGCGTGTAATGTACGGCACGCGAAGACAGGCTCTTTTGTGACGCGTGGAAGGGCGCACGCGACTAGAGCGGGCACGCGCGATGCTTTGTAAGAAGGGCGGGGCGGACGGAGCTCACTTTCACACCTTATAGTCACACGAAATGACGTCCTACCAGAAGACATTGTCCTCAAGTAAGTTTGAGGGGAAAGGCAAGGTGAAGTGTTGTATAATATCATCATTCCAGGGGAAAACATTCTAAAGAACCTAAAGAAATGTTATGATTGCGAATTGCAAGCTATTTATCGGACTTGTCAGACTCTTTTTTTGTTGGGGGGGGGGGGGGTTGTTTGGAAACTAATTTCGGTAATTTGCAGACTTAATTAGCTCATTATCAAAAATCTATAATACCGGATCCAGATATTTTTTAAAACGAATTTTAGGCCTACTGTTTATTTTCTCTCTCTCTCTCTCTCTCTCTCCCTCTCTCTTGCTCTCTATAAATATGCCTTTATCGTTACGTTTTTTATAGAAAGAGATAGTCTAAAACGGACATTCGATCGGGACACACAAGTCATTTTGCTGTGGACATTATATTCTTAGACACGCAGACGATCTCCACGCCTCGAGTTTGAGTTTGCGGTACATCTCGCGTCGTCATCAGCTGCCCCATACCATTACAACCAAACTCCTATGACACAACTAAAAAAAACAATAAGCTTGCTCGAATTGAAACCACAAACTGACTATCCCTAATGTATTAGCCCCCCTTTTTTTTCTTCCTCGGAAAGATTTATTTCGAACCTCTTTTTCTGTTTCCTTCTCGGCCTTGCTCACGTCTGTAACTCTACTTCCAAGTTTACATGTCTATGAACAACATAACCAACAAAGGCGCCTTGAAAGGGTGTAGTGACTTGGAAAATTACAATGATGTGATCATTAATTTGCGGTCGCCTGCGCGAACGCCAGCACGAGCTAGCGATGTCCGTTTTGTTAAAAAATAATGATTACACCCGAATTACGGTCGAAATTTCGATCTTTTTGTGTTTATTCCAGTAAACCCTGATCAGTGGGAGTTTCCTGTACCATTCAGTGATCTAGTTAGATAACAATTTATTTTCTGTAATGACAGTTTAACTGGGAGCTGTTAAGGACCAATGAATAAATTATGACGGTCTGTTTTATTACAGTATAACTTACATCACTCCAAAGTACAGCTGTTTTGTGTAATAATTTCCATTTTCAAGCATTTTTAACCACCACTCTGCACTCTAAT